TAATGTAGCCAGGTGGTAAACCCATAATAAATTCGATAATCTTGCCACCTATGTTCATTTAATATTGCCATCATGAGGGAGTACTTTATTTATTTCATTTTAAATGTTTCTTTTATGGTTGTACATTAATGTGATGTACAGTTCAAATAGGCTGTTGGCATTTTGCCTGATGTTACAAGCCGTGGTCAGAAGGTGGTATTGTTGTGTAGCAGTTATTCCGCCAAGACTTCGCCAAGTGCCTCTTGGTCTATCATCCTGTTTACGTTTGGACAGAGCTGGAGGTGCACAGAGGATGGTGGTGTCAGACGGTTTTGTAAAGTAGTTGGTAAATATGCACTTAACTTGTTGAAATATGCTTGTGTAACTACTTTTAAGAAAGTAGTGGTCAATATTTTAACGAGATGGTGTATTTTTGAAGCTTTTGGTCTTGCTACCTGGTAAATGTGGTGTGGACCGGAGACCACCATGTCCTCAAGTGTATAGCAAGACTTCTAACATTATGTTTAACTTTTTGAACCTTTTTTTGGACACAAGTTAAAAGAAAAAATTTGAGCTCTCGGAAAAATTCCTGCTTGTCTGATGCTGTTTATTCCTCCACCACTTCACACATCAGTCCTGTTGATTGCATCCTGGTTGTAAAAGCTCACCATCATCACAACCTGACTGCCAGAGATTAGACCTATATGTGTATCATTGGCATAAGCATATTGTGTTTGTCTGTACTTGGGACTTAGATGACATAGAGAACAGATGTTGATAAAATATTTTGAAATCTACAATCAACCATTCTGTCTTTTAAAAAGTTGTGTGAAAAGAACCAAAAATCCTTAAAATGCATTTGAAGTTGTGATCATGTGATCATCACATTTGTAGTCATTTGCATAAATGGAGAAAAACAAAAGGTTGTAACTATGACTGAAATAAATTCAGATCAGTAGATAGAACATTTCCAGACCTGTAGTGGAAGTAGAAAACACCACAACATGGAAACATTCGAAGAAAGCTCCAGCTCCTCACAACTGTACTGAAGTACCTACTGATCAAACATGAGTGCATTGATGGATGTGAACCATTTAAGCAAAATGATTGTAACACAGGAGCCCTCTACAGGTGAAGATTATGGGACAGCAAGAAAAGACACTGAAAACACTGAACTCTTTATTGCTTTAGTCCTACAGGGAAATCCAAAACACACCAGTTACTCCAATCAATCCGACAAAAGGCATAAAAACTCTAGAAAAGACTGGTCCTCTGGAGAGACCCACTGCAGGTCTGCTGACTCACTGCAGGCAAACACAGATGGTCTGATTGAACAGACACAGTGAGCTGAAAGTCAACAATCCAGGTTTCTAAGTAAGACAGCACTACACACTCACAATCAATGTCTCAGCTCTTGACGGTCCAGGCAGTGAGAAATACTCTTGTGTACCGAATCAAGAAGTCTTTGAGAAACGCATTTAAACCAAGTGTGACATGCACCTTCATCAGAAAAATACAACAAACCAGTGGCGACAGTCAAAGACCTCTTTAGAAATAACGTAGAAGAATACTGTGTGAGATGTAAAAGAACAGCAAAACAAGTAACAAGCATCAGCAGTGAGTGCAAGGCAAAGACTGTACTGTACATCCAAATACATGTTTGCTAGTGGGCTACCTGTAAATATGTTTAATGTGGGAGTACTGAACCCAATGAAGTATCTTCACATCATGAATACACTGAAACTGCATCCTCTGTGAACTTTTATGTTGTCGTGGGCTGGACCACACATCATATACTTAGATGCTATTTCAGTCTCATTGTGCGCTGACAGATTACATCCATGGCAACAACTGGAGTATAAAAATAGATAACCGGTTAGCAACAGGAAGGGTTAAAAGGAAAAAGTCAAGAGATAGAGGGTGAATCGACAAGTGATCTCTCCCCTGTCAAAAAAAAAAGAAAAAAAAAAAGAATAATTGCGCTTCTCCTGCTTTTAGTTCATGTTCAAACGTTATTATTAAAATAAAAAGTGCTCAGAGCATAATTTGGCCTCTGTATTGTTACAGGGTTGAATGTGGGCCACAAACATTTTTGAGATTTTCAGGTAGGCTATGATTTGGAAAAGGTTTGGAACCACTGGTTTAGACAATGTTTGACAATAACTTTGGCTCATTCAGGGCAGAGTTTTGTAGAAAACATGTTTATATTCCTAGGTATTGAAAAGAAATTGTTTTGCTATCAATAGTGAAACTCAAGTGTCTAGTATCTGTACTTCTGTTACAACTTTTGATAAATCTAAAACAATACCCAGCACTACTAGTGGGGCCGATAGGCAAAACATTATGACTTAAGCATGAAAGTTTCAGCATATTATCTATATACCCTGAGGTTTTATTTCAGAAATGGAGGTAATTTGTATCTCACCTCTGGTGACCTTGAGAAGTCATTGACCTCAGCATTGCATTTTTCCAGTTTTTGCCCCATTTCTCTATTATAATCATGTATCTTGTATCTTTGCCAAAATTGCATAGCGATGCATATTTGCTGCTATGGCCATGTAACATCATTCTGCTTAGAGCACCATTTTGCCAGGGGACTACAGAACCCATCATTTCCAGGTGTTAAAGTAGCTATAGCTTGTTAAAAATGTTGACAACTTCTGCTGTGTGTTCTATGGAATTACATGACTGTCTACCACATTAGCAAACATTCTAATGAGAAGTGAGCATGCTAGTTTGTCTGGAACACACATTACTCCAGGGGGCTCTGCTCTGTCCTAGGGGTCTGAAATGCCTCCACGTCTGAAAATAAACTTCATGGTTTATAGAAGCAGTGGAGAAAGTTTCATGCTTTAGTCAAAAAATGCACAATACCTTCAATATACAAGTTTATCTACTGCAATACACTGCTTCTTCACTGTAATGGGAGAGAGCTAACTCCCTCACTGTCATGTATCTCAGCTATGACGAACATGACTGCCTAATTACAAACTTAAAAGGCACTCCACCAACTGTACACATGAAAAGCAGTTGTCTCATCATGAAGAGATTACAAAACAGCTATAGAATTTCTTCTGGGATTCTCATGAATTTCCCATAGGGATAAATAAAGTATCAATCTATCTATCTATCTATCTATCTATTGTTAAACAAACAGTCTGTGTTACAAACAAGTGGCGTTTAAAAGCGTGGGTGTTTAGCAGGCACAGGAGTTCAAATCAAAGAAATATAGGATTCAGTGTTTATGGAGCTTGATGTTTCAGGATATCTCTGCCTCCACTGCTCTTATAATGGTGTTTGTTTTTATGCCTGCATGCTGGCGTCAGCTGTGGCTGGACTCAGTATGTTTTTGGGTTGTCTGTCTAATTGTAACAAAAACAATGTCTCAGTAACACCTCAAGGGAATTTCTTCAAATTTAGTACAAATGTTCACTTGGACTCAAAGATGAGCTGATGGGATGTTTGGTGGTCAAAGGTCAGAGGACAACAATGACTGATGAAGCTGTCATGGATGATAAAAAGATGAATTACCTAGAGCTCTCATTTAACTGACAGTCTGATCTTGTAAGAGGCGTCACTTTTTGTTGATGTTGGTGGTGTTTTGTGGGGGTTTTTTTTTTACCTGCACTCCCTTTAAATAACGGGATCAGATGTACACTAAACAGTGACCTTAACAGTGTATACAAATTTTTCTCTCAGACAATATAATTTTGTATGTCACAAAATGTGCAAAAGATATAGTCATTTACTCTTCATATATAGATTTGTAGCAGAGATGTAAATAGACCGACATAAGAGCACATGATGTCAGCAGAGTTAAAGGGATCCCAGGACAGTTTCCTTTAACAGAGACTGTGAACTAAATGGAGGAACGAATCACATTTAAAGAGCAGAAGGAAAAAATGCCATTATTCTAATTGAGTCTATTATGATTTAAATGTTAAGAAACAAACAAAACTGAAATCATGACAACAAAGCTAAAATTCTAACAATGCTTAGTGAAATGAAAGAACAGAAAAGCTGCAAAATTTGTTCATAAAACTTTGTTTATGATTAGCAGAAAATGTCAAATGACCTAAATGCTTAAGAGGCTTAATTGGAAATAGCATTTTGTTTTTTTTTCCTAATTTTTCTTCCTGGCAAAACATCCTCCATACTGTGAGTGTACAGCTGGTACTTTAAGAACGGTGTCTCAACTAGGGACACCAAGACAACAAAATAAATACATAAAAAAAAACTAAAAACAAAAGACCTAAGAGTCTACAGCCATGTTAGCTGTGAGGCTATACTTAAACACAGCAGTACTTTGAGCTAAATGCTAATGCCAGCATGCTAACATACCCAAGAGACAATGATGCTGATGTTTAGCAGGTATCATGTTTGGCATGTTCACCATCTTACTTTAGCCTGTTAGCATGCTAACATTTTCAAAATAGTAGTAAAGAAAAAGTACAGCTGAGGCTGGGAATGTCATCAGTTTTGCTGGCATCTGGTCATAAACTAAAGAATTGGACAAACAGATTTTGACCTGATGATGGCGTCAGATAAAAAGTCAGAGGATAAGTTGTCTGGAGGGGAACATGGATAAATATTACAGCAAAATTATCTGAAATATTTCAGTCTGGACCAAAGTGGTGGACCAGCTGACCAACACTGCCTTTCCATGAGCCCTCCTGCTGGCACTGCTCAATCATCTTGACAAATAGAAACAAGCATCAGTGCAGACAAAACTGCTTAAAAGACATAAAAGCTCCTCAGTCAGCATGAAACCATCTACCACAGCATGTCTGTGAAGACTGAAGATCTGCAGAGCAAACTAACTAACTAGCTAACATCGTGTTCACATAGTCAACACATTTGACTTAATACTGAAAAATCACTAATGTAACATTTTTGGTCATTTTAATTGTTTTCCCATCAGACTTTGAAACTAGATTCTTACACTGTCCACGTTAACACTCTAATTTGTATATTTTGTCTTAATTTGACTCATCTTCACAGTGTGAAGTCACAGTCAGTCACACATACACCAGTATTTAATCTCACTTATATCTTCAAACACCTTTTAGGTAATGGGGTTACAGATTTTCAGTATATACACAAACAAGACTAAGTATAAACCTAGTATATGACTGGACCATGTATAGATACCAACTGCAGGCTTTGTGCTGTGCCTCTTGTTACGGGCAGTCATCCAGCCGCTCTGGCTTCCTGGCTGCTCTGGAGCTGCAGGCAAGCACGGTCGTGTTACGAATTCACTGTGCATCGGCTCCATTGCAGCAAATTAACTACATTTATTACATTATCGCTGAAGGAGGCCACGCCTACTTTCTGAGGAAATACAGTAGCTGAAAACTGTAGTGGATCTGCTGTAAATGCCCCCTGATGATGTCAGAGAAACAGTTCACACAAGATCATTTCAAAAGAACAAAGGCCAATAGGAGGAGTCAAACACTCGGCTGAGCAATGGTGTACCTTTATCACACAACTGTATCCCTCAGTCAGTCAGTTGAGGATATTGTGTTTATAGGGCTGGCCCAGCTGTTTCTGTCTAGCCAAAAAAGAAAAAAAACGATAAGAAATTTAAAAAAAAAAAAGAACAGTAACAGATGTATTAAAGTGACCTTATGGGGTAGGGGTGGGGGTGGGGTCATGTGGCCGTGGTTACATATGTGAAAGAGAGTATACGTGGGAAAATAAAAGAGGTGTGTGCTGCAGTAGAAGAGAGGAGGGTCTGAGTGCTGACAAGCTCAGACAGAAAGGGAAACAAAGCTGTTGTATTGCTCAATGTTTCTCTTCAGGATGTCAGAGCAGGGACCCAGGACTCTCTCAAACCGTGGCCGGTCCAGTTTGACACACTTAAGGGGTCCGCATGCAACAACAGTGGCAGCACGGGGCCGGTTCATCAGCAAGGCAATTTCACCTGGGGGTACACAGGAAAGATCACACAGTCACACACTGTTTTAAATCCACACCATGCATATAATTGTATTTAGCAGCCCGCATCCTGCACTGCGATATGGCAGAGAACAGTGACTAGACTAGACTAAAAATGGGTTTAAAGTTTACAGACAGAAAACTGTAAAACAGACAGAGAGGGTATAATGCTTTTATTTTTATGTCTTTTTAGGCTGATTGTTTCAGCCAAAAACAAATCACCACACAAAAGCTTAAAAACACAGATATTGCACTAAATGCTCAGAGAAACTACTTTGTACCAACATGTGTCCTCTCCACTTTCTGATCCATCTGAACTAGTTTGCTTGAGAAAATTAACCTTAATGGGCTGTAAATAATTATCAGACCACAGTATGTGTTTGGTGTCTATCCAACCAAGTACTAGAATTATTAATATTGAAATCAATATAATGCATCAATTAACAGTTTAATAAATTGAAGTATGACAGTTAAAGGTAACTTAACCAAATCACATAAAATTCACTAGTCAAAAAATGAGATACAGCTACTGAGATGTGCTAAGCTAGTGACCTTTAGCAGGAGTATAGCTCTTTTTTTTCCCTCTACATCATTAACTGATTTAGCTGCTTCCTTATTTAATTTTATGGACGAGCAAACTATATGACCAAACTCTCATTTAAAGTTATAATGTAATTTTTCCACATGAAAATGTCTAAAAACAACTAGAAATCTGTGATTTTAATCATGGTAACAGTACATGTCATTGGTCTCCTGTCAATGACATCATATCCTCTATGATCATGCATCAGTGTGTTTGTCCGACAGAAGCTCAACATTGACTTAATCTTGTCACGTTTTATGTTATCTGGACCCAAATATAGACAAAACACAAATGCTGGAAGGTGGAGCGAAATGACATTACTCTACCAAAAACACAGGGAGCACAGGAGTAAGGGATGTAAGTAAGGAAACATCAAAAATCCAAACAGAAGTTCCACAGGTTTTAACCTGTGGAAGCAGGACAAACCGACTCAGACAAAGGGGAGCAGAGACTAAACAGACACAAGTGAGGCAAGGGTGATTGAACACAGGTGAAAATACAGACTGGGGCAGACAATGACAAATCTAAGTCACATACACTTTTTACACCTTGGTGGTTTTCAGCTCTATATTTGAACCAGATGAGGGATTTCAGTCATTGGACATCTGGATCTGAAGTCATCAGAGAAACAAGCTGAGGAAATGTTAGACAGCTCAGCTCCCAGCTGCTGGAGACGTCCTGTCCTGTGTCACTGAAGAGCGTCGCTGAATCTCTGATTTTTAAAGTCAAACTGCTTTATTCAGTGTTTCTACTGGTTTTAATCCCCTGGTGTGTTTGTTATGGAGAGGAGTACACCCCTGTGGATAATTCAGCTGCTGGTAAAAACCTGCTGAACAGCTGGTTCAAAAGTTATTAAAGAAACAAAAAGGTAAACAGTCTCAGTTTCCAGGTACTATGAGACATCATGTGTCTGCTAAAGAGCATCTGCGAATCACTGATTTTTTTTTTGTTGACATTTTTGCCTTTATTCAGATAGCTACAGTGAGAGAGACAGAAAAGTCAGGGAGAGACAGAATGACATGCGAGCCACGGGTCGGACTGAAACCGGGAAGGACCAAGACTTTGTGGTCTTTGCTCTATCAGGTAAACCGCCGGGGCCCAAACCCCTGATTTTTAAAGTGAAACTGTGGTTTGGTTTTTAGGTCCATTTTACTGTAGATTTAGAAGGCTGTTTTTGGTATGACCTAATGTTTTTCTTCACAGTAAAACAGATGTCAGAGGGGAAGACAGAGGTTATGACCAAATTTTGACAAATTGACTTTGACCAAAAATGCAGTTACTGTGTTTTGCCTTTGCAGTGTGGATAACATGTCTGTCAGGGTCTTACCAAAGTAATCTGACGGTCCAAGTCTGCCGACCTCCACAAACTCCTCGTCTTCTGACCGCCTCTGAAGCACCGCTGCTGTCCCCTGACAACACAACAAAGACATCTTGAACTGCATATCCCAGGTATCATCCTGATACCAAGATGTAGTAGGACTAATTACATTCCAGTTTGTCCAGAAAGTATCCACTGTAGCTATTACAAATCACCTAGGACGTCCCAGGTTATGTCATGGATTTTCTTGAAAGAATTAATGTAAAAAGTTTCAATAAATGGGGCCTTGTAAAATCCAACAGTAAAAGACATTTTACATTTTTGAAGTTTGGCCCTTCAACATTTTTTGATTCTTTATATGAGTTTTCTGAGTCTCGCTTATTTTTCCATGTATTAGGTTGAAATTTGTACTGAACAGCCAAGAAACCCTAAGGATAATTTCTAACATATATCTATGTAAATAGTTGTTGCTAAATGTTTTACACTAATCACATTAATTAAAAAAAATATATATATATATTTTTTACCTGAATGAAGAATCTTTTGTTTTCAAAAATGAACTAGTTTTCACCTTTTTGAAACCAAATGTTGATTATGTGTAGTATGAATATAACACATTCAAAAGTTACTTGGTACTGCAAGACAAGGTACTGAAACCTTTTTATGTGAAATATTCATAGTGATTTTTTGAAAATAGTGATTTTTTTTTGTACGTTTCACTGGCTGTAATATTACATTTATTGGCTCTATTTCATCAGTAAATATTTGTACTATGTTGACATTAAGGTTTTCTATCTCTGTTATAACAGCAGTCGTTGGCATGGAGGCATAATGAGTATTTGGGGCTGTAGGATTTTGCAGAAGTTCTTTCATGAATGTTTTGAGGAAATATGACATGAACTGGGAAAAGTTCAGAATTCTGGATGAGTTGATATGAAATGAACCCCATGTTAATGGTGGAATGAATGACTTAGAAGAAACAAGCAGTCTTCACTTGTTGTCAAAAAGTGCTGTTTCTCTTAAAGAAATATTTAATATTACAATTATTTAAATTGCTTATAATTGTTTCTGCCTTTATTTTAACACTAGTAAAACTGCACAGTAAAAAGGAGCCACCCCTTGACGCAAACCAGCCACAGGTTTTCATGACTATATGAATTCTGTATATGAGATGGAGCCTCCTCCAGTTCTGCATTCACTATACCAGTGACCCTCACTGTTTGAGGGTGTATAAATCCAGGGACTAACCCACAGGTTTCTCTAACAGATAGTTTTCTGGGTGCAATGTAAAGTGAGAATAGGAAACTTTTTTATTTTAATTATCTTTAAGAAGTAAATGTTGATTGCACAATGTATAGAATAACCTTTGACCACCAAAGTCAGTTTGTCATTGATTCCAAGTGTATATTTGTGAAGGGAAAAAATAGAAGGGATTCCTTTTGAAGAGTTCTGGAGATATTGCATTCACAAGGCCAAAATCATGTTTTGTCAGGTCACCGTGACCTTGACCTTTGACCATTAGCCACAAAAAGCTAATCACATTGTCTTTGAGTACAGGTGAACATGTTTACCAAAGTTGAAGAAATTCTCTCAAGGCGTTACAGAGATATTGCGTTCACAAGGCTAAACTGTGTTTTGTGGAGTTACCATGACCTAGACCTTTGACAACCAAACATTCGTGTCATATTTGAAGAAGTTCCATCAAGGCCACGAGAATGGGACGGACGGACGACCCGAAAACAATATGCCAGGAATAAAAAGTCACCACCCTCATGGACCAGCACAGTCCACTTGGACCACCATCCAACCTTTCAGGATTTGGTTTCTCTGACTTTAAGATTAACTGCTATATTTTTTCACTCAGAAAACAGTCAGTCAATCAGAGGAGAGGCTCAGAGCCTTCTCTTCTGATTGGCTCACTGACCTATTCTTACTAGAGCTCCAGAGAGAAGCCTGAGAGAGATGTAAAACTACATTGAGATTGTTTTTGGTTCTTTAAACTACAAATATATCTTCTTATGGATCAACACGAGGAAAATATGGACCTTTTAATACAACCTGGCAACACTGGGGGGGAAGGTTGTCCATTGCCAATTTAAGAATTTTGGTTTTGGCTCATGCTAAAACGTAGACTGAAATAGAAAGCGTTGGGTTAAAGTGGCAACAAACTTTTGTTTGACAAGCAGGATTACACCACAGAATGTCACATGGCGAACAAACATCCTACACCCACATATTGGGACAAATATGTGTATTGTTAAACACCTACAGTATACAAAGAACCTGGATAGTAAGAATATCAGTATTGCTTTCAGAAAGTGGTCTGTACCTCCAGGATGATGAAGAACTCATCACCAGGCTCTCCCTGGACCACAATTTTCTGGCCGTCCTCAAACTGCACTGTCTCCAAGGCATCAGCCACAGTCAGACGCTCCCACTTATCCAGAGACTCTGCTCAGGAACAACACTCAGGTCAACACATTCTCTCATCCAGATTTATGAAGCCAATGATGAAGCTTTTCTTTCAGTCAGTCAATATAATGAAGAAAAACTGAAGAGCTAAGATCTCACCTAAAATGGAAACCTTGCTGAGGAACTCCTCGTACATCTTACGCTTTCTCAAAGTGCTCCCCTAAAAAGAAAAGATAATAGTAATAATTATGACAATTCATGTAATTACCTGACAGTGATTTTGTTTTTACAGATCAACTCATTCTTGTGTCATTGTTCAGTACTGCAAAGCTTACCATCAGTATTCTCCTGTAGCTGTCTCTGTCGATGCCCCAGAGCTTGACATTGGACTTGGCCCGGACTGTAGCTGCACGGGGGGTCCCATAGATCAGAGCCAGCTCCCCAAAACTACCTCCCTCACCAATACTGGTCACCCACTCATTGTTGACATATACCTAGAGGGAGACAGACAGCAGAGGTGCTGCTGTTGGCCTGGTTTCTACTGACATGGCAGGGATCTATTATACCTACAATATAAGGGTGGTAATAATACTGGTCTAAGTGGATACTGCAACATCAACAATGTATTCTTCTAGGTCACAAGATAAAAGAATTACTGCCGCGCAGTTGTCTGCCTCCTCCAGCTAGTCCAGTGTCAGTTCACATCCATGTCCGTCCAAACTCAAAGTGAAGACTTTGAAAGAACTTAACAAAAAGGTATGAAGAGTATTTTTTGGTTAAATGGAAGTTATGTCAATATTCACAGAGGGCGCTGGTGTTGTGCTAAGTGTAACATGCTGACAGTTTCTTTTCAGAATTGTATCATCAACAGTTTAATTGTTGTGATTTTCTTTTTATTTGTGATGTCCCTCTCCCTGTATTCTACTTGTGAGGTTGTTGCTTCCTGGCTCAGGAGCCAGTGGGCGGGGTTTGAGAGGACATCAGGAAACTACTTGCACCTTGGCAGTTTAGGGCTGCAGTGTAAAATTTTTTTTTTTCTTAGGCAGCTTCAAACTGAGCAAAATGAGCTGAAGTATCTGAGCAGCAGGCATAATCAGAGCTGCTCCACTTCGCTAAATGATAAGGAAAGGAGCTTTAAATCCAGTCAGGAATTGTCATGAAGAACAAATATAGTGAATTTATAGTTAACAATATCATCATCATTATAACAAAAGACTATAGCCTATACATAAATGTTGTTTCACTTAATCCCCTTCCATTGTGTAAAGCACTAAAAACTCTCAATTTAACATTTGTATAGAAATGTCAAAGCACCTATGTCTATATGAAACTATAAACTTATGTCTGAATATAATTTCTGATCTCTTGTTCAGTTCTTTGTTTTTATTGAATTATTATTTTAATGGCTCAACTTTCTCTATTTGTATATTCCCTTCATGTTTTCTTATTTCAACATTTTAATCCTGTTTGTTTTGTTTTTGTGGTTAAGAAATGAGGATTTATCGTCCATGTGTTATATAAAATAAATAAATAAAATTAGTTAAAAAAAAATTCAGAGTGTAAGGGCAGTCGGATTCTCTCCGCACCACGATTGTCTTTTCTTAAATCCACATGAATTCTCTTTCACATCTTTCCTTGACCTCATGACTATTTCCATTAAGGTCGAGGAGAAGAGGTTAGAGAGGAGTTTTTTTTTTACTTTTTGACTGCAGCATGTCTCAGAGTTTAACAAGGAAGCCACCCAAACAGGCTCTCTTCTCTTCCTCCACCAGCTAGATGGGTAAGGGTTTTGTGGGGGGTTTTTTTGCACACATTACTGACACTTCATTCATCCACACATTGCATTCATTACTGACCGGCCCTGTTAGTACCTGCCTGCAGGTCTAGTTTCCCAGACCTTATGTGTAATGACCTATGCAGCAAATAATTGAAGACCAAAATATTATTAAGGTATTTCTATTGAAGTATTCTACATCAATAAACTAATTTTACACCAGACAAGGTAAACTATTTTCATTACACAGCATACCTGAAAAACAGCGAAGCACAAAACGAGTGCATGTTCTCTACTGCTTAAGTTAAAGACGCTGCATTCATAATGTTTAGACACTTGGGGGCATCAGAATAAACTGACACACAACTCTACTGAGGAACAAGTTATTTCAGTTCATTAGTTGTTAGTAGAATAAAATCATTAATGGTTGTTCTCTTGTTAGTTGTGCTTTAATGTTTCCCTCACTGAACCACCAAAGCACATCTGGCTAAATAGGGAAAGATGAAGGCAACTTTTCAAATTCTTAATAAAGCAAGGCAGATGTTTTCTGGAGTTCAGAATTGCATTAAAACATGAGAAAGGGATCTTACATCCATCTCTCCCTGGTCAATAACGTAGAAGTTGTCTCCCTCATCACCTGGAACAGAAGCAATGAAGAGTCCTATGAATGAATGGACGGAACAAAAACACAGCAACGTCCATGTAATCCTGTGTAGAAACTCACCTTGTTGGATGACTGTTTCTCCAGCAATGTAGTTGACAGAAAACATTGCATCAAAAATATCACTAGAAGGGCAGTAAGGGAAAAACAAGCTGATGAGCTGGAAATGCTTTGACAATGATTGTTACACAAACTACTGAAGGGATTATTGGCATTACCTCCTCTCATTGTCATCCAGGTGGGAAAACAGCACATTCCTCTCCATGGCTTTGGCCAGGGCAGCCATGGTCTTGTAGTCTTTTGGGATGACCTTGGGTTAAAAAAAAAAAAAGCTTCTTTAGATTAATCTGGTACATTTCAGGAAATATTGAGACTGCAATGTACAAGTGCTGCATTAGAGAGGTACTAATGCAGCACAGATACTGTAGCTTACTGGTGAATAGGAAATGATACCGAAACCCAGTATTAAATGGGCCCGGGCTACATTTTTAAAGAAAATAGATGATATGATATGATATGATATGATATGATGATAGATTTCCTTTTTTTGTTTATTCAGAGAGCTACAGTGAGACAGACAGAAAAGTCCATTTTTGTTATTTCAACAGAAAAGTGCTCTAACACATTTTATCTCACCAACTCCGTTTCTATTTAAGACATTCATCTACAATGCATTTTCACTCATTTTCATCTGCATCTCTCTCTCTCTCTCTCTCTCTCTGACCCTGTGTGTGAGGGGCGGAGGGAGATCTATGTCAAACATTAGAGCACCCTGCAGCACACACACACACACAAGCATGCATGCGAATGCATGCACGCACTCACACACACGGAGACCCTGCTCTTAGTGACAATGGTGGAGAGAACTAAACGTTCAAAAGTGTGGTGAAGTCTTTTTCATGTAAGAGCAGAAACACAAGCGAACTGTGGAAACATACAAAGGTTGAGGCCCTGAAGCCCCTACACAGAGTTGACTACATTATACCAACAGTGGTTAATGATGAAAAGTAATCATTAACACCACTCACCTTTCTGACATAGGAGGCAGCATCCTCCTCAGTATACACCTCAGCGCTGATGGCTCCTCTCCGGCTCCGCCCCCTCACCACAGGGTTCATGGGGGGTGAAATTTCATCCTCACGGGAGTCTGACCATGAGCTGGACTTCTGCTGTGAAGCCATCTGCTGAGCCTCCTCCTGCTGACCAACAGGTACACAAAACCACACCTGAGACACTATACACACTGTGAATGGTTGAACTGTGATGTTTTTCAGATAAAACAAAGACAGAATAACAGAATGGTTGAAAAAGCTGACACTTAATTTCATTACAAGTCTTTAAATCTGCCTTAATCAATATTTTTATATTTTACAGTGCATTCAGAAAGTCTTCAGACTCCTTTTTTTTCCACATTTTGTTGTGTTGCAGTCTGTTGCTAAAATAAAAAAAATATATTATTTTTTCTCCCATCAATCTATACTCAATATCCCATAATTACACAGCAAAAACACAAGTGGTGAATTGTAGAGCTGGCCACACGGACAAACTGAGCAGACAGGGGAAAAAGGCCTTGGTTAGAGAGGAGACCAAGACCCTGATGGTCTCTCTGAGCTCCAGAGATCCTGTGTGGAGAAACTTCCAGAAGAACAACCATCACTGCAGCTCTCCACTGATCTGGGTTTCATGTCAGAGAGTCCAGATGAAACCTCTCTTCAGTGACAGTTTGTAAAGAAGCGGCTAAAGGACAAAGAAACCAGATTCTCTGGTCTGATGAGACCAGGAGTGAACTGCTTAGTCTCAGTTCTAATCATCATATCAAGAGGAAACCACACATGATGATTAGAACTGGTTGTCCTTTTAGAATTTTCTCACAGGATCTATGGAGCTCAGAGTCACCAACAGGTTCTTGGTCTCCTCTCTTACCCAGACCCTTCTCCTGATGTTAGTCCAGGTCCAGGTCTAGAAGAGTCCTGGTGGTTCCAGACTTCTTCATGTCAGAATGAGGGAGACCACTGTTCTTCTCAGGAACTTTCAATGCAGCAGAAATGTTTTTGAGCCTCAACACAGTCCTGTCTCTGAGCTCTGCAGCAGCTCCTTCCTCCTCATGGTTTCTGCTCTGATCTTTTTGTCAGCTGTGAGACTTGATATAGACAGGTGTATGTCTTTACACATCATGTCCAATCAGTGAAAAAAAAACAGTGCAGAGAAAATTACCCAAGTAGTGTCCAAAAAGTGTTTTTTTATTTTACCGATGAGCTCACTATATAGTCCTCGACACTGAACTACCTGGATAGTGAGTATGGAGGAGTGAATAAGTAAGTGATTTCGGACACAACTTCAGAGATGATCCAGAGAAATTGAAGAACCTGCGCTAATTTCAAGTGTCACAGCAAAGTGTCTGAATACTTATGTCAATGTGAGATTTCAGTTTTAACTTTTTTAATAAATTTGCAAAAATGTCTGAATTTCTGTTTTCACTTGGTCATTATGGGGAATTAAAGTAGATTGATGAGGGAAAATTTGCTGTTTTTTTTTTTTTTTTAGCATAACAAAATGTTGCTTTCTGAATGCACTCTATATTCGCACTGAATTAAATGGCCATATATGTCAGCACCCACCTTTTCCAGTCTTTCAAAGTGGTCTCTGAGGAAGGCCATGGGCCGTTCAGGCCGGGACGTGCACAGCTGGATGATGCAGTCTTTGAGCAGTTGCTGGATGTTGTGTTTCTGGACATACTGCTCACACTCTCTGAGGCTCTGCTCTTCCTCACTGCTTGTACTGCTTGATGCCATCTTTGTCTTCTGACCTCTAGGAGAAGAACAGATGAAAACACTTTGAACAATCAGGAAGCTGTTTTCTGTCTTTATTCTGTACTGATGTGCATCCATAGTTTCACCTGAGGACTTGGGGGTTTACCAACTGAAATTTACAAACAACAAACCAAATATGAAAAGTCTGACTTTCCATCTCTATTAAGTCAAGTCAGTTTTATTTATATAGCACATTTCATACAGCAGGCGTAAACTAAATGTGCTTCAAAATAAAAGCAGGGATACATCATACATGACAAAATATACAATAGCATATAAGATAAGAAAATATTACATAAATTAAACATAGAACAAAAAACATACAGAATAGGAAGGTATTATTATTCTAAAAAGGGAGATAATAACATTAATAATACTGACTCACACCACACACTTAAACTAAAAGCTTGCAAAAAGAGATATGTTTTTAATTGACTTTTAAAAGAAGATACTGTTGTAGCAGACCGTAGTTCAAACGGCAAAGAATTCTAGAGAGTAGGACCATAATGACTGAAAGCACCATGAGCTTAGAATTGATTCTTGGTATTGTGAGGAGACCTTTATATGATGATCTAAGGGTCTGATGGTATGATCTAAGATCTTTGATGTTTTAATGGCTGATATGCTCACTAAATACAAATTTAAAAACAATGAGAATTATTTTAAAATAAATTATTTGTTTTACTGGGAGCCAGTGAAGAGATGATAAAATAGGAGTAATGTGCTCAGAGCTTTTGGATTTTTGTAAAAAAGATTTATTTTTTTAAATTATTTTAACATCTACTTTGGCAGTCCAGTAAAAAGTGCATTACAGTAATCCAATCTACTAGAAATAAAATCATGGACCAGCTAACTTTGGCTATAATTCTAAAATAATAAAAGGCAGTCTTACAAGCCTCTATACAATGCATACCCCAGTGACTGCATTACACCTTGTCTAATTCATTCAATTTAAGCTCTCATGTATCTAGGATCACTAGCAACCCAAGGTGTTTAAGAGTGTAACTTTTTTTTTTTTGGTGTGAAAAATTGATGATGCAAATGCTAGCAGGTATTTTTTTTCTAGTTTGACCTCATGATGGAATCCTATCTAAAATCATACACTGGAGCGGCAATATGCCATCTTGTTTAATTCAGTGTAAACAAGCACAGGCACAATAATGACGAAGCCTCTTAGAAAAGCTTATTGTCACAGTAACACGATGGTGCAGCACCTGCAATAAAGGTTTAGTGCAGAGCAGTATTTTCTTTAATACTGCAACTCTGCAAATGAAGACGCAACTGAGACTACTAATGATAAGACATTAGTTTTGTGCCATTAATGAATCTGATCATTTAAAAGCAGAGCCAAAGCATGAGAATGATTAATCCATTCAGAGCACATATCAGGAGATATGTTGGGGAACTCCAGCAAAAGTCCTGGAGATGCTACATGTGTCCATCCACACTAGGGCTGCACAATTAATCAAAATATAATTGAAATTACAATATGCTCAAGTGCAATATCCAATTCACAGGAGCTGTAATTTTCTTGATAAAGGTCAAATGTGTCACGTTGTTGTGCATTAATAGCACCTTGTGGTGCTACAGAGACACCTCAGCCTACAAATCATATTTTCGAGATGTAAAGGAACATATCAATCATTGCAATATGACTTTTTTGCATATCGTGCATCCCTAATCCGTACTAAATGCTTACTTTGTGCAATAACCAGGTTGCAATAACCACTAGCACGTGACTATGATTAGTGATTACTGTGGACTAATTTGGTTTTGGTAGTAGTCAGTTCATGAGAAGTGTGCTATGTATAACATAAAACAATATACACATGGAAAATAGCGGTTTACACTTACAAATATATTTCGACCAGAAATTTCATAAATTACAAAAATACATTTTGTACATTCATTCTGTACAAGTGATGTGATATGATCAATGATTACATGTCGTAATTTGCCTCACATAGGAGGTTTGTAGCAGTGTCCAAAAAACCATCCATGCATTTAAGGATTAAGTTTGTGTCTCAACTAAGTTTGACACAGCCTACATACAATGCTGGGTTATCAAACAAGCAAGTCCTGGGGCTCCCAGATCTCCAGGGTCGCCAGAAATCCCAGGTCTGCATATAATTTGATGAAATGTAATTTTGTTTACAATTGTTCTGTCTGGGAAGAGGGAGCATACATACAGCACAACAACGTGATGAAGGTTGGTTCAACAACAAACTTTTGCTCAGGGGCTCACGGAGACCTTTCGCTTCTTTTAATTATCTAACTTCAAATTTTGAATGAAGAACATTCACATTCAGTTTTACATTGTGGTGACACTGTTACAGTAAGAACGTGAATTCTTATTTACCATGTCCAACGCCCATTAGCAAAGTAATGTAACCGGTAAAAACCTAATTTAGTTAGTTAGTTAGTTAGTTAGTTTATTGTCCCCAAGGGGAAATTTTCACAGTTCTGTACACAGAAACGCCAAGCAGTTAGCTACCCAACTAGCTAAAGTACAACAATCTCCAAATTGTACTGCAGTACAGTGTGGTACATTACGCTATAGTACTGAGCAAGATGTAGTTAGATACTTTCCTCTGGCTAATGTTTTGTTTCTGCGTAACGTCTCAGTAAAGTTACCAGGGAATATAAAGCTAACGCTACCGGCGTATTGACTGTAAAAGAAACGTCCGTCAATGCAATACTAATGAAACATACTGTTATTAGTACGCCTGAAGATTTCTAAAATTAGCCATTTTGAATACAAACCACTTACATTAGCTTAGCGAGCTAACTGTTCGCAATCCACAGTCCCGTTTCTAAACAATGTGAAAAATAGCCCACAAAAAAAAAGAAATGACACGCTTTCAACAAATGCATCCATAAATGTGTGATAACTACCTATTCACACTAAAAACGACACGAAAATCCTCACCAAATAACGTGTCGTGTTTGTTTTTCTTCTTGACAGCAGAGAACCTCGACTTCCGCCTGTGTTTTTCACAATAAGAGTCTTCAAAAAAATAGTATACAGGACTGAGAAACTGAAAAAAATCCTGTACTCAAAAACCAACAACAAATTGCAAATACAGATTCTGTAGTCATGACTTACCCTGGGATTTCTTTGATCAAAATAAAATCAATCACTTACTATTTTGATAATTGATATTTTCAATCATTTTAAAGCTAACACATTAAATATTCTCTGGTTCCAGTTCCAGTTCCAGACACACACACACACACACACACACACACACACACACACACACACACACACGCGCACACACACACACACACACGTGTATACATACAGTATATATATGTGTGTGTGTGTGTGTTTGTGTGTGTGTGTGTGTGTGTGTGTGTGCGTGTGTATACACACGCACTCAGCAAACTGGAAGGCTTTATCACAACTAGTTTTAAGGTAGGTGCTTGCTCAAGAGCTATTAGCAGACACACCCACCTTTCTCTCACTCCCTTCAATAATACCACAGTCACTTCCTTCACCAAGTCAGACTACACAGCTCCATTCGTGTGGACTGCCCAGAGTCCACGAATACTGCCCTGCATCTTCCACCACCGCTACCAGTTTGACCTGACCACACACACACAGAAAGGTAAGTCTTAATCTCTGCTCTCACTATTTTTATCACATCTAATCAACTTGTTCAGTTTCTGGTCGCTGGTAAAACTGGTTCATGCTTTCAGCCTGGACCATATAGCTAATCTGTCTAATGTAATGGATGTTGCTTCTCATCAATTACCATCTCTGATAGTGTCTGTTTAGTAAGGCAGGGTCAAAACAAATACACAACCAAAAGTAATGTTTGGACTTCTGCTTTATAATAAAAATGTAATGTAAAACTGTAAGAAACGGTCATCTCTGTGTTGAAAAAACTAAGGTATACACTGGCCTGCTAGGATCAGGTTATATAGGACAGAGAAAAAAATATATGTAACAGTTAAAGCATGTTTGCACATCGTGCACTACACCTGATAAAGGTGTAGATATCTCACACTCATTACTCACATAGCTAACAATGATTGTATGTCTGCATATAAAGTGAATTTTCCCACTTTCCTGGGACCAAATTTCCAACTATACATCAAAGTAAGTTATACCAAATTGGTGTTAGGATGATGTAATAAAAGATTTAGGTAGAAAATATGAAAATCTGACACCACAAACTGTATAACTTTTTTTATAACACTGTCTGCATCATTTCTCAACCCAAATTCGACAAACTAGCAGTTCTTTGTCTTTAAAAATCATGTTTCTCAACAAAGTGTATCCCTGTCTTCCTCTGTAATCTCACCTTGGGACCTGCAACAGCACATCTGCAGACCAGCTGCGACAGCAGCCACATTCCAGCAGCCTCTCCTGCCTCTGTTCAGACATGTCATTCTACAGTTTTGGCCTGGAGCCGCTCTCCTGCCACGCCTGGAACAAAGACAGAACACGTAAGTGAAACAGCATACATACTGACCTGCCTGCATTTGCATATAGAGTAATACACACGCATGTACACTTATGTGCAGATATAGATACATAAAAATACATGGGCATAGACATCACATGGGTGTATTCTTTCTCCATTACTTATGGATCCCTTTTTTTGCATTAATGTTGCCTGGAGAACCACAGGGAATCTGATTATCAATACAGGAAATGGACTCAAAGAGCTTTACTGCATGCATCGAAGTGCACTTCAGTTGCACAATGTCTAATGTTGTTTGGGTACTTGACATCATATCAACTCCAAACCAACCACCTCCTGGCATGTTACGCTTGACTCATTCAATAAAATGTTGCCTGTGAACATAATCCAGCCAGTGGATACATTGCCACAACAACATAATTGTAAAAACAATTTGATATAGTAATGTAATTCATAGGAGACCAGGTTGCACATTGACCATATCAACATGTAGGTATAATTTTTCCCATGTTTGCCATTTTAGTTTAGTACCAACACCAACAACCATAAGGCCAAAGCTCCTTACCGCCGCTTCTGCAATGGAGGCTTTGAACATGAGCCACTTGGACTCCATGTCCTCATCCTCCCCCGGGATGCACGAGAAATTCTTCCAGAGGTGTGAGTTGAAGACCTCACAGACAGGAGCCCCCACCAGACGTTCCCAGCACACCCTCACTACATGCTTGGGTTTACCAGGTCTGTCCAGGCGCCCCGCCCCTCTCTTCACCCATGTGTCCAAAACATACGGCTACAGATCTGATTATATGACCACAAAGTCGATCATCAACCTTTGGTCTAAGGTGCTCTGGTACCGAGTACACTTATGAGATACCTTATGTTAGAACATGGTGTTCGTAATGGCCAAACTATGACTAGCACAGAAATCCAATAACAAACCACCACTCAGGTTCAGATCAGGGAAGCCATTTCTCCCAGTCACGCCCTTCCATTTCTCCGTCGTTGCCCACATGGGCATTGAAGTCCCCCAGCAGAACTATAGAGTCCCCAGATGTTGTTTGGTGCATAAACAATCAGAGCCAGAGCCTTCCCCTCAGCAACCCTCAGCCCCATAGAGGCGACCCTCTCATTCCCCGGGCAGAACTACAACACTGCGGTGCTCCAGCAGGGGCTTGTGACTAAACTTGCATATATAAATTATACATCATTAACATACAGTATATGGTTGCAACATGTTACACCATGTAAAAAATTATCATGTAGATACTTTTAATATATGTTCATATACAAATTTTACTATAGTTTTTTATAGCGAGGCATTGTCCTGCACCAGGAGGAACCCAGGGCCACTGCACCAGCATAAGGTCTGACAATCGCTCTGAGGATTTCATCCCAGTACCTAACAGCAGTCAGGGTACCGCTGGCTGTGACATGGAGGTCTATGCCTCCCCAGACCATCACTGATCCACCACCAAATCGGTCATGCTGGATGATGTTACAGGCAGCATAACACCACAGCGTCTCCAGACTCTTTCACGCCTGTCACATGTACTCAGTGTGAACCTGCTCTCATCTGTGAAGAGAACAGGGTGCCAATGGCAGACCTGCCAATTCTGGTGTTCTGGCGAATCAAACTACAGGGTGCTGCGCTGTGAGCACAGGTCCCACTAGAGGACGTCAGACCCTCATGCCACCCTCATGGAGTCTGTTTCTGACAGTTTGGTCAGAAACATGCACACCAGTAGCCTGCTGGAGGTCATGTTGTAGAGCTCTGGCAGTGCTCCTCCTGTTCCTCCTCACACAGAGGAGCAGGTACAAGTCCTGCTGCTGGGTTGATGCCCTTCTTCGGCCCTGTCCAGCTCTCCTTGTGTAATGACCGGTCTCCTGGTATCTCCTCCATCCTCTTGAGACTTTGCTGGGAGACACAGCAAACCGTCTTGTGACCGCATGTATGGATGTGCCATCCTGGAGGAGCTGGACTACCTGTGCAACCTGATTGGGCTGCAGGTACTGCCTCATGCTACCAGTAGTGACAAAGACACTAGCAAAACACAGAACTAGAGAAGAATCAGTCAGGAAGGATCAGGAGAGAGCAATTGTCTGTGGCCACCACATGTAAAACCATTTCCTTTTTGGGGGATGTCTTGGTTTGGCCTCTCCATTGCACCTGTTGTCACTTTCATTTGCACCAAAGCAGGTGAAACTGATTCACAATCACTTGTGCTTCCTAAATGGACAGATTGAGATCCCTGAAGTTTAACTGACTTGGTGTTATACTGTGATGATTATATTGTGTTCCCTTAATTTGTTTGAGCAGTGTATTATATCTTCATATATCCAGAGGGTGTGTGCATGGGATAATAATATAGGTGACATACATGGCAACATCACTCTTGATATTAGATTAGATTAATTTTATTAATCCCACAACTGCGAAATTCACTCACCACAGCAGAAAATAAACATCTATGGAATAAACATGTATGGAAATATACATCAAAAATACACCAAATATACACCAATATACACCCAATATACACCAATAAATACAATATACACAATACACACGATATGTACATGAAAAAGTGCAAGTATGCACTGGGGACATGTATGGGGACATGTATGTCAAATGTATTTCTGTATGGGAATGAACCAACAAAATGACTGATATTGCTGTCCATACAGCCACACTGTGCTGTGGATGGCATAACATTTGAATTACAGTATATATGCTGTAGATATTCATGGTCTCCATACTGTGGTTTTTGGTGATCCCTAAATGTTTCTCTTTTTCTTGTGTCAACATGAAAACAAATGTTTCCACAATGTAAACGTCACAGGTGAGAACACACAGGACTCAAATGCATGACTCAGAGACAACAATGAAAAGTTTGAAGAGTTTATCTAAAGGTAGTGCAGGCAAGGGCAGGGCTTAGGGGCGGGGTAGAGTCAGTTGGCAGGCAGTGGTAGATAACAGGCAGGAACTGTGCAAAAAGGCAGAAAGCACAAGGCAAATTCCAAAAACATGCAAGAGGTCAAAAAAGGCTGGAAAGCTATGACTGGGATAGCGCTGTAGACAATCTGGCAGAGTGCAAGTGGACCATATTTATACAAGGAAGCTAAGGAGGGAATGAGAAAGAGGACAGTTCATGGGCGTGGGGGAATCAGGTGACTGGAAAGGCGGGATTGGCTGAATGATGGCAAAGTCAGAGATTACTATGAAATTTACTGTGTAAGTGTTTATGCTTCCCAGAGGATCTCTCTCATGAGTTTCCCACAAATAACCTTGGACACATACTTATTCATTTTGTGACCCTGAAGCTTTTTCTCACAGAGAATGCTCCTCAGAACCTTTTTGAAGAAGACTCAGTGACAATGGCATGTTACTACTTCTGTATCAATATATTTCTATTAAAGTATTAAGTGATTACAATGCCTAACTCTTGAGCACATATGTCTTTACAGAGATTGCAGTGAGCCCTAACAACAATGTAGTGAATATCTATGAGAAGAAAGGCAAAAACTGGGTAAAGATCCACGAACTGACTGAGCACAGTGGACGAATCACAGGTACTGCAACTTACATCAGACAACATCAACATTAACATTAAATTGTTTGACAACGTCCCAATTATTTTGAGCAAGAAAATAAGAGACATATAAACAACATTCGTTACTGGATTTCAAAAATTTTTTGTAATTTAATTTATTGAAACTAATTGGACTTAATTTAAAAATCTGTGACTGAAGGTTAATTCTTGACATAGGGAATAATGATTTGGTAAAAATAGATTTAACTTAAGGTCTACCTGGTGGTACTTTTACCCTCATCTCTTGGTTTTCATCAATGAATGGAGGTTGCTCACTTGTTATCATGACATCATTGTCTTTGGGCCTATTATTATATTTTAGTCCTCAGACCTTCATCATCCAGACAAAAAACAGCACCATACAAACAACACAATATATATAAAGGCTACATGCTTTCACCTGGGAAAAACTAAAAACTGATTGTCTGCCTCCTCCACTCAGACTAGTCATATAAAATATGAACCGTTTGTGTGAAACTTTGTTATAGTTTCTGTGTGAAGCCTTGAGTTACAGCTAAAATGTGTTTTGTGAGGTCAGACTGACCTTGACTTTTGACCTTTAGCCAACAAAATCTGATCAGTTCATCCTTGAGTCCAGGTGAATGTTTGTGCCAAATTTTAAGGGATTCCATTGAAGAGTTCTCGAGATATTGTGTTCACAAGGCCAAAACCAAGTTTTGTGAGGTCACCATGATCTTGACCTTTGACCTTTGAACACCAAAATCAAATATCCATTCATCCTTGAGTCCAAGTGAATGTTTGTACCAAATTTGAAGAACTTCTGGCATTACTGAGATATCGTGTCCATGATTTGGACGGACATATGAATGGACGGACAACCTGAACACAACATGCTTCCGGTTCTGGCTGTCGGCTGTGTGGAGGAATGAAAAGCCAAACAGGGGACACCAGGCACACTTCCCAGTCTGCATATAAATTGAAGTCAATTAAAGCTCCTTAAATATGAAAACAAAGACAAACTGAGCTCATTGTTACTGTATATATGCGAAATATGCCAGTATTATAGATGGTTTACATCAACCATTAGGGTCCTCAGGTTGCATTGGATTTTACAATTCAGTCCCATATTTCACCATGCCTACATGAACTAAAGGCAATCTGAGTTAGTAATTATAATTTTCCAAACTCATTCATAACGACAATAATATACAGTATATAAAAAGAGATAATACAATAAAATATCACAAGATAAAATATAAATATACAGTATGTGTCAATGAAAGAAAAGTATGAGAACCAGAGCAGCTGAGAGATGAGGGCTCAACAGGCCATCCAAGGCAGAAATCAACATCTTGGCCTAATAATGGGAGGATCTATAAATACTGAAAGGGGCTGAACTTATACCAACATATGAAAAAGGAAGAAAGTAATGTACAATGTGTAGAATTTTATAGTGTCTTTTCAAATCAGGAGGTTTTGATCCCACACATGCACCACTAAGACATGTGGCGTACAAGCAGCCTTTAATTTTCCAAATAAATACATTAATAAATAAATAAAGCTAAATTTTTTGGTGATATTTGCATATATGAATCTAGTGAGTTTTTTGAATTCTCAAGTAAAATATATGAAAATCAAAGGTGTAATATACAGTATTTCCTAGTAGGCATCATTGCATATAAATTGCTCCTTTGATACAGCCTCATAACTATGTTCATAGGCATTGACTGGGCTCCAGAGTCCAACCGCATTGTGACATGTGCTTCTGACCGCAACGCCTATGTGTGGAGTCTGAAGGATGGGGTGTGGAAACCCACCCTGGTCCTTGTGCGCATCAACCGTGCAGCCACATGTGTGAAGTGGTCACCTCTGGAAAACAAATTTGCCCTAGGCAGTGGTGCTCGTCTCATCTCTGTCTGCTATTTTGAGAAGGAGAATGACTGGTGAGAAAAACATCATCAAATTTAAACTATTCACATTTTAAACATCACTGATGTTGGTCTTGGGGTGGTGTCTTCAAAGGGGTGACGGACAAACAGATTGGAATGTGTCTGTGTACCACCGACATCCACATTGTATACCCCACTGTATATATTTACTTCATATACAGATTGTTGAGTAGTACATTTAAATACAGGTTTTGACCATTCTCCCTCCCTTTCAGGTGGCTGAGTAAGCACATCAAGAAGCCCATTCGTTCCACAGTCCTGTGTCTGGACTGGCATCCCAACAACATCCTACTGGCAGCTGGGTCTGCAGATCTTCACTGCAGGTGAGACCAATACCAAAACAGTGATGTAGAGGAGGGAAAGCAGACTGGAATCTTAGTTCTACAAACACAGAGCCAGAGAAAACTGTTTGGATGATACACCAAGAAGTTATGTTACTTCTGGGATGTGTGGGAGCACCATTGGGTTCTATAACATAGTCAAGGAGCGGAGCTTAAGTTTGGCAATATGCTATGTTTTTCTCACTATCAACAACCTAAACCCAAAACAACAGTGAATGTATCCAAGTTAAGTGTTGTGTGTGTATTCAAATCCTGATATATCTTCTTCCTCTGGGCCATAGAACTCCACTGTTGTCCAGAATCTTTTAAATTAAACATAAATGAGCTGCACTGTTGCTGTGGGTCACATGTTCCTTCACCATAAACACACACATTGTAGTTTACTTGAGTCAGTCCCACACACACTGTCCTGCTGCCAGAATACTCACTTGAGCACCAAATGTGGATTAATCTGTCACTGAAAATAGTCCCCAGTGAATGCACATTTCCTCCTGTTTGAGTATTGATTCATAAAAACTACAGTGACCAGTTCATTTAGAAAATTCCTGAGCTTATATTACAAAAATGAAACTACATATTTACAAACGGTTTGTAAGATTTTCACTGGCAATCAGTGCGCCTGGCACTGAAAGTCACACACAGGAAATATTGCAAGACATGTTGTTGCTTTTGGTCTTTTCATTGGATATAATGCTAGCATTAAGTCTGCAAGATTACTAAACACTTCTGGTATCTCACAAGTGTGGGCCTTAAGAAATTATTTTATTTTTCTTGACTACCTTTTAAAAGATGAAGCTGCTTTAATTGTTTTTTTTCTTACCCTTGGGGCTGTGAACATGTCCCTGCTTCACAGGGTTTTCTCAGCCTACATCAAGGATATCGAAGACAAGCCTGGACCCACTGCTTGGGGGGCCAAGATGCCTTTTGGGGAGGTGTTGCTGGAGCATAAGGACTGTGGAGGCTGGGTGCACAGTGTCTCCTTCTCCACCAGTGGAGACAATCTGGCGTGGGTGGCCCACAACAGCAGCATCACTGTGGCTGATGCTGCCCAGAAGAAGGAGTGAGTACTGCTGCTAAGCCACTTATTCCATCAGTATGACCCGTGTTAATATTCAGCTGGAATGGAGATGAGGTATCCAATTCATTTTGAGACAGTGTCTCTCCAGTTCCTGTTTTTTCTGTCTATGTTTTTGCAAAGTGTCCCTGTGTCTTTTTGTATGATGAGTGCTTGTTGACATGACAGTATATATCACCTCTTTGTCCGTTTAGAGTCACCCAGCTGACCACTGAGCATCTGCCACTGTTGAGCGTCCTCTACGTCAGCCCCACTGAGATTGTTGCTGCAGTAACTATTACCTGCTCTATGTTTGTTTGTGTGTATGGGAATAGTATGAGTGTGTCCCCAGAAACTTCAAGCATGAGTGAGATGACCAGATGATATCCCACTGTACTTCAAGTATCAATATTAATTATCAAGTATGATAATAATAATAATAATAATAATAATAATAATAATAATAATAATAATAATAATAATAATAATAATAATAACAATAATAATAACAATAACAATAACAATAACATAAAGTATCAATATTTGTATATTGAAATGGATCAAATATTAATAAATCTGCTGCTTTGGCTTTTTTTAGGGAACTTTTAGGGTTTGGACCACAAACTGTCTTCTCATCAACCAGCCCAGCATCAAACAGCAGACGGGCGTGGTTATATCCCATTCAGACCAACAGAGTTACATGGGTTAAATCCATGTTTATGACGTGACATTTTAAATTCTTATGGAAATGAAGAAAAAGGGGGAATTGTCTTGGTCAAACACTTATTATTTTATTTATGGAGAATGACACCTTCAGATTCTGACTGTTGGTGTTGTATGTGGCTGTCAAATTGAGTAATGCAGCTTTATGGCCACAGATATGATCAAAATGAACTTGAATGTAGATGTAATTATGATTACTTGCATCCTTAATCTCTTGTGTCAATGTCAGGGTCATGACTGTTGCCCATACCAGTTCACCTATAAGGGTCCTGGTGCCCTGGAGTTTGTGAAGAAGCTGGACATCCCCAAGCAGACCTCTAAAGGCAGCATGTCAGCCATGCAACACTTCCGCAACCTGGACAAGAGGGCCACTGAGGAGGACAGCAACGAGCTGGGCACCCTTCACCAGAACAGCATCACGTAAGGCATCATAACATCCACCAAGGAGGTTTTCAGTTTGAATGGTTGTTTATTAGGGGCATGTGCTGACAGATTTCAAATACAGTTTGGTGAAAAGGGCAACATGGTGACCCAAGGGTTAAGTTGCCAGCCATGAACTGCAAAACCTCCTTTTCAGATTTGGCCACAGACCTTTATTGTATCATTCCCCTCATTTGCCATCATTCCTGTTGACTATAAAGTAAAAGTTCCAAAAACTACAAAAAGTAACTTCAAGGATCAAGATGAAAGTCTTCTGAATCTGGATCCGATAGCAGCACCGTGTGGCCACTTACAGTCTAGCTCAAATTCCGGTCATTTCATCCAAACATTTACCACATTTGATATTATGTATTTGGATGAGCTTAAAAAGCTTTTCTTGTCATAGTGCTAACCCAACTGGTCAACAGATTGCTGTAGACATAACTCTCTATATTGACAAACATAAAAGTAGAAAATACACAGTGCAGTTACACCGTATTATAATACAGTGCAAAGTAAAACACAAATAAATGAAAATGTATAGCTACAGTATGTATTAAGCAACTTTTTGTTATGATATCAATAATCCTAGACAGGATGTAGGAATCCTGCAAAAACCATGGCCACTGCATCACAAAATTAGTGTTGTGTATTTTGATGCAGAAATAGATCCACATATTATCTTGAAAAGAGTTTCTGTAATTAAAACTACTTAGACCTGTATGGAGAACTATGATTTCTGTCAGATCTGCAGTGATAGAGGCTCATTCACTGATCCTCAAGGTCAAGTCAGGGACTATTAGTATATCTCTGGCATGTTGCTTATATGTACATACACAAATACAAGACTGTTCTCTCTCCATTGGTCGTATTTCAATTATTTGTCTGCACAACAATCCTTTCCAGCTATCCTGTTTTTATTCCTCTGCGCTCTGATGTTATTGCATTATAAAAGCATTTGTAATAGCCTTGTGTGTTGTAATATGTTGTGTCCTGCAGGCAGATGTGTGTTGTATCAGGGGAAAAAGCCAAAGTGGAGAAGTACAGTAGTGTGGGTCTGGATGGAGCCATGGTGATCTGGGATTTTAAGGTACCTGTGTCAAACTCTCTTCAATACAAAAGTGAAACTGTGATTTAGTGACTTGACTGTAAATATTACAATTAGATATTTTAAACATTTACTCTCCAAGGTATTTAAATGTGATGTTATTTTGTTTCATTTGAAATAAGCATATATGATATACGTAGTTATTTGATCTTGAGTCAACCCTGTGACAGCTGAGTGAACCTCTTCACTGATGAAGACCAATAGATGCTGTTGAAATCTCTGGTAAAAATCTATTATGTGGAAGTAGACTTAAGATTATTGTCTCAAATACCAACTAGGTCTTTTGAGGTAATTTACACTCCAAGCATATTCAATGACAGAAATGTGTTTTGACACATTTCTTTCACTAAAATTATGAACACAAATAATATACTCTCAATTTGTTCATGTAATTCTTATCATAGATTATTACTGATACACTTCCTGACTTTTCTGATTTACAAATCCCCAAAACATTGATAGTAATTTTGGGTGAACTGTGATATAATCAGTGGGAAAAAACATAGACAAAAACAGTTCAGTCATCATTTATGTAAATATGCCACAAACAGAATAGTTTATCTTGGAGTAAATGTTATTGAGTGGAGAAATATGTTTTATGACTAATTTCATCCCAGAGACTGTGATGGTCAAAAGCAGCTGCAGCAGCTTTTTTCATGCTGATTACATTTTGAAGGAAGAATTGATTAAATGTTCAGTATGAATTTCGGCACTCAGTATTGTAATTAACATATTGCGGAACAACTCTTCTCTGGCAGTACAAGCATGGAGCATCAGTTCTAACGTGTTTGTACTTTTATTTTGCAGCATTGAACTGAAAAGGATATAAAGATGGAAGATATCCCAAATAATGTATCTGCTATAAAACCATGTGCATGAATATGGAACTACTGATATGTTTTTATCTAACTCGAAAACACTGTCAGCACATGTGCTCTGTGATATTTGTGTATAAAGCATCTTTTGAATAAATAAAAAGGATATCTACAGGTGTAATGATGTGTCCTTCACATTCCTGTGTTGTGTTTTCAGTCAATTGACATTTTCACATTTTTACTTACCTACAATGATGCTATATATCTGGAGATTTTTTATTTTTTGTTACTGTTCTACTGCCTCTACTGCTGCTACTTAACTACTAAAACTAACTAACTGCTATTCAATGTCCTTCCTTTAAAGGGTCTTGTCATGGGGGACACCTCAGCCACTGGAAACAGTGGCCCTGAGAGCTCAACATACTGCAACTTAAGAAAACACATGCAAACACACAAACACTGCAAATTCAGAGAACACCATTTTCAATTTGACAACACATGAGCTGCAAATACTCCCAACACAATGGTAGGGTTTCCAGGGGACACTTCTGACTTTCCAGTCTCTCTCTCACTGTTGCTTTCAGAATTAAGGCAAAAAATAATTTCAAAATAGAAAAGTGATGAACCTGGCTGGGACTTGTTCCTCAATGCCCAGTTGTAACTTTTGTAGTTAAAAGCATTGAATGAGTGCATCCCAGCAGGTTCATCACTTTTTAGTGTCACATGGAAACACTTCTGTTGTGTTGTGACTATTTGCAGCATGTGTTGTCAAATTGATGGAGCTGTTTTCTGCATATATTTGTTTTTTGTCTGTTTGCATGTGTTTTCTTAAGTTGCAGTGTGTTGAGCTCTCAGGGCCACCACGTGGAAACTTCTGTATAATCTCCTCTGTGGCTCTAAATGAGTTTTACAAAGTGTGGGAAAATAACCCTGATGATGTCAGTTTTAATTATGTTTACAGTCTTTCTCAATCGCTTTTATGCAGTTCACTCATCAGAAACATCATTCTCACAACTCTTAATGCAATTCTCAAAACACCCAATGCATTTCTCCCAACAATAAATCACCAGTGCAAAAGCCTCTAAAACAATCAACCTTGTTCACATGTCGAAACATGCAGTCAGTCAGTCAGTCACTTCAACATTGTCACTAATGAATTAAACCTTTTCACCAGAGCTTCAAGACTTAGACTCCAAATGTTTTGATGTTTTGATAAAAACCTGACTGACTTTAGAAAAAGACAAGTGCATAAAATATACAATAAAAACTGTTCAGACACAAACTGAACTGCAGTTACAACAGTGACATGTTGGAAAAATAACTATATTCTGTTTCAACGTTGCATTGGTGTTTATTGTACTAGGAACATTTCAGCCTCTGAACAGATCACTGTCCTGTCACTTTAAAACACTGTATGGAAATGTATATACAAGCCTATAGACAGAAGAGCTTTAGATTCAGAACATGGTCTATCTGAAACATTACTTTACTGAAAAAAGTGATTTTTAGATGTTTTTACTTTATGATATTTTCAATGCAGTGTTTCATTTTGCAGCAGATTTGTGGTACTTTGCATTGTGTGAGCAATTTATGGATTTGTGTGTATTTAAAAAAAAAAAAAAAAAGACCTAGTTTTAAAATGGTGTGAAAGCAGTTGTAACCAAGGAAAGCAAAATGATAAACATGGAACTATGCATTCAAAAATAGAAAAATATGCAATCAAACTTAGAACATAGCATCAATTATAGTACAGTAAATTCACACCACATAAGGTATATATGTACATATATATATATATATGTACGTGTGTGTGTGTGTGTGTGTGTGTGTGTGTGTGTGTGTGTGTGTGTGAGAGAGAGACTGGCCTTGCTCTCTCATACATATTTGAAGAAAGTTTAAAGTGATCTGATTGAAAACCCTGATGCTGCAGGACAGTATCAAAGTGAGTGAGAGGTCTGTCATTCTATCTGACGGAGGAACAAACTGTTTTCATGAGTTGTCAGAGTCAGATGAGAAATGCATCAACACAATGAGAAAACGTCTTTAGTAGTGAACTATGTGTGGATACAAAGGAAGCTTGTACAAATACAATGAGAAATGCTAATGTGTGTGAGGAAATGATGAACTGTTCTGAGAACTGCATTAAGAGAGGTGAGAATGATGTTTCTGATGTGAGAACTGCATCAAAGCGATTGAGAAAAACTGTAATATAACAATATAGAAGCTCAAACTGAAATACTTAAAGTAACCACATAAAACCCAATACAGCTTGTCTTACAGATATTCCATTGTGCTACCCTCGTAGTAGCCTGTACAAAACATCTCCAGGACCCCGGAGTTGTCTGACTTCAGGATTTTGTCATAAGGTTTTGAGTCTTCTGCTTAGACCTCTCACTGCTGCCGTCCTCCGGACGTTTCTTACAACAACAGTGGAGGAAGGCCAGGCAACTGAAAAAGGTGCAGAAATGAGGATTGTGGGTTGGCATTGAGGCCCCTTGACTTCTTCAACACGGAATAACAAATCATATAGATTTGATTAAATTGGTTATATTAGTTTCATCCCTGAACAGAGAAACGTATTCAAAACTTCATTACAATTGCCGTGCTCACAGAAATAACATAAAGAAAGATGTTTTCTAGGATCATCTGGATCCTCTGATATATTTTGCATAAATTTATCATTTATCAATATCATTTATCATCGATATCTATTTATTTAGCATCTGTAATTTAAATAGATTCTGAATTTCATTAAAATTCATTAAATTCTAAAATGAGTGCTGCATCACTGTTTTGGAGAAAAAGTAACGAACCATCAAGCCCTGTAATTACATTTATTCAAAGTGAAGTTATGGGACATGCATATACGATATGAGGACAAACGAAGGGTTTACTATGTAGTTTGGAGATAACAAAGAAAACATTAAGTTGTAATTTTCTGAGCAGTTTCGTTGTTTTTTCTCCGTGAGAAGAATGTTGGTGATTTTGCTCCATCACATGAATGGACAGACACAAACAATACCCTCTCTGCCAATAGAAACACACTGTTGTACACTTGACCAATCACAATAGAAGCCAGCGACAACATGGTTTCACTATCAGCCAATCATAAGAGTCGGATGTATGACGCGGCGCTGTCAGCTGTTCTTGTTTTGCTTCTTTTTCTTCTTCTTTTTCTCCGGGCTCTGGATAACCGACCTCTACAAAAACCGCACTCAAACATCGTTTTAATTCATCTCTAGTGGAGAAACACTGCGGCTCTGCTTCGAGCGCTCACTCGCTCATAATCCGTTCCACATTTCTTCCAAATTGGAGCCGTCTTCCGCCGACATCGAGCGAAGAGGTGCAGCCGATCCCAGGCCTCCAATCCAGGGCGGAGGGAGGGAAGGAGGTCGCTGGGAATCGGGATGGAGATCGGGGAGGGAACCGGCGGGTCCGGCGGACCGGACGGACCGGGGCTCCGGTTTGGCTGCGCCTCTTTCAACCAAGACTCCACGTAAGCAAGCGGGCGGGTAACAAACGGCTGAGTCAGCTAAAGACTCATCCTGCTTGATTTCTCCCTGAAACTAGACAAATATACACAGCTTGACCCTGAACTGCATTTAGACACAAAACAAAACGCTGCGTGACACAAATCAGCAACAGTTGATACAGGGACATGGACATACACTTGTTATTAGGAGCACTATTCAGCACGTCAAAACAGATGCATACTGTCGTCTGTGGTTCTGGACAGGCTTTCCAAAGTTTGGGAAAATAACCCTGATGATGTCATAGTGATGTCATCGGCGTTATCTTGGCTTTAGGTCAGAGACTTCACACTTGACAAAGTCTGAGTTATAAAATAAACGGTTGTGTAGAGATTTACAGATGTGGGTGATTACAAATCATGGAGGGGCTGTCTAACAAAATATGCTATAGAGGTGCATCAGAGGAAATGTAGGCTCCAGCATTTTGTTAAGGTTACCAGAGACTCAAACTCAGGACATCTTGGCCTCTGGTGCTACAGCGGTTTTGACCAAGCCTGCATTACAAACTGAGCCCTTGGAGTGTGATTGTCCAAGCACAAGTGGTGTGATGTTGTCAAGGCTCCATGTTTTCCAAGACTGACCCAAACTAGGGCCTAAAAGTCAATATATCTCCCACAAATCCCCCATCTTCATTGATTTAGGTTAGGGTTTATGGTTGTAATAGCAAGTGCTGCAATAGCCTTGAAGGGACTTTGAATGCAAAGGGTGTAAGTCATATCAGCTAGAGGGACAGCAGACTGCTGAACACATAAAGCATCAGGTCAATCTATCAGGTGGCAGTCTATGTCAACAACCTGTTGGGGATTCAAACCAGAAGCATTGAAGCCACAAGCCCCTTGTCAAACAACAATAATGTCATAAACATACGGACAGTTGCTTTATGTTTGATAAGCCCCACTCGTGCATCTGACGCGTTGCTCATTTAGTTAAAATGCTGAGTAATACAAAGATAAGAGCAGGAGATTGTGAAAGAGTTTTACATGTATTCAAATGTATTCTCTGTGGTAAATTGCCCTCACTTTACATATTCATCTCCAGCCCATGTGTCAATAATAGTTTTCAGACAGCAGAAGAAGGCAGACTCCAGCATGTAATTACTCCTTCCCTCTGTATAATGTCTCATCTCATCCCCCAAAACTGTAATCATCTCTTTATTGTACAAAATAGGAAAGAGATCAGAAAGAAAGCTGCATGTCACACAATGACTTTGTTCTGCAGGGACAGTGAAAATATTTTTTCTGTGTTTTCTGTGTAGTGCTGCAGGTTTCCTCCTGTTGAGAAACAGGATGAGACAGGATAGGAATTTACTGATCTGAACAGGTGGCCATTATGAAAATGACTGGTGTTAAAAAAAGAGCTGATGTCTCAAACAGGTTAAACATCATCTGTTTAAACTTAAGTCATCTGAGTCAGTGTATACAGTGTAAGGCTATATCAGCAGGTAAGAGACAGGAAGCATCAAAAAGTAGTTGTTTGATAAGACATCAGATAAATGAGTGGTCCTGAGGGCTGTCATGACAAATGTCACCCTGAGTAAATGTTCAGTTCAGGATCCTTGTCTAGATGACATATTGTGATTTCAATCATAGATCATTAGAGAAATCATCAACTGCTAATGTGTCTTACATTTCCTCTTCGGGACAAACTATGTCACAACCAAGCATCAACCTCCGGGGCTGAATAATGAAGCCAACACTGAAGAACCAAAACCTGCACTTCCTCTAATGACCTCTAGAGTCTGGCTCCAACAGTGAGTCAATCCCCATAGACTCCCATGTTAAAATGTCCAACTTTACAGCAGAAATAAACATTTGGAAACCCCTCTAGAGGACAACGCCTAATGACGAGGAAACTCATGAGTTTAACTTAACTACTGTCTGTAAATTTCTTCCACATCTCATGGTTTTCCTCACGAGACAGAATTATCATTTACCTGCTGCTATGTGACTGAAAGTCCTTACAAAGGTCATGTGATAACATCTAAACTACTGCATCTCCATTACAACTGAAAGTAGAGATGTTTTGTCAGCCCAACATATTTCACCACTAGGCAGCTCCTATAGAAGGGAACAGGGAAGACATTGTGGTATGGATTCATAAGAATGTTTGCAATTGAAATACTAGAGAAATTGGAGGTTTACAATGTGTGTGTGTGTGTGTGTGTGTGTGTGTGTGTGTGTGTGTGTGTGTGTGTGTGTGTGTGTGTGTGTGTGTGTGTGTGTGTACTGCAGGTCACTGGCTTTGGGAACAAAGACTGGCTACAAACTCTTTTCTCTGACCATGGTGGATAAACTGGACTGCATCCATGAGAGTGGTAAATATGGATCTGACTGCAGGTTGAAAACATCCTGCTCTGGTGTAAACTGAGTTCATGTGTCCCAGACAGACCTGTCCTTACAGGCCACATCAAACCTCCTCAGGCTTCCCGAAAAGGATCAGTGATTAAACACTGGTTACATTTAGCCACAGTAAATAACTGCCTATTGTTCATACAGTAGATAGCTCTTACTGAGGTTAATATGTTGAAACTCACTTTCTTCTGTCATTCTCGAAGTCTTATTTCCCCTCCGTCTGAGCAACAGGAGTTAACTTAGCGACAAAGCTAACTTAATTCTTATGTTTTAGTGTCTGCACGATGTTGTATGAACTTCTTTTCACCTCATAAATCAGTAAAATATGGAATTTGCCTAAACGTTTGCATACAAGGCCAGGCAAGTTTATTTCTGTAGCACCATTCAGACACAAGGCAATTCAAAATGCTTTACAGAGACACAAAAATACATAAAAAATTCAACATTAAGATGACATTAAAACAGAATTTAAAAACAATAAAAAATACATTTGAAATGAATAAATGAATATATCAAATATTAAAATTCATAAGATCAGGTAGGAAACACCATTTTAAAAGGGGTGTTGTAGTGATTTTTGTTTTCAGTCCTGATTTAAATTAGCTAAGAAATTCAGCAGATCTCAGGTGATCAGGAAGCTCATTCCACAGGTGAGGAGCAGAGAAACTTCACCTGGCTTGGTTGGCTTTGGGGCCAAAAATACAGTGGCCCTGAGAGCTCAATGCACTGCAACTTAAAAAAAGACAAATAGACACCATGAAGGCATCATCCTGACCTCAGTGGCCCGGGTTCCAGTCCAACCCATGGCCTTTTGTGCCATATCATCCTCTCTCTCTCTCTCTCTCTCCCCCCTGACATTGCTCTCTCTCTCTCTCTCTCTCTCTCTATCTCACCATCACTTTCGGAATTAAGGCAAAAAATAACTTCAAAAGAAAAGAGTTATTCTCTTATTGTTATTCAAAGCTTTTAACTTCAAAAGTCACAGTTGGGCATTGAGCAACAAGTCCCAGGTTCATCACTTTTTAGTGTCCTGTGGAAACACTTCCATTGTGTTGTGTGAATTTGCAGCACATACAGTATGCTGTCAAATTGATGAAGATGTTTTCTGAATTTGTAGCACTTTTTGCATGTGTTTTCTTTCGCAGTGCATTGAGCTCTCAGGGCCACTGCAGAAAAACAATTATTTCAGTTACAACTGTGTATTAGCTGCAACCAGAGGTACAGCGGAGTGACTCTGGAGTTCTGTTAATAGTCTGGTTATACATGTTGAGAATAACCTCAGCTCATGTGAACTGAGATACTGCCCACTTTTCTAAATGTGCCTAACAGTCACACAGCATTTGGATGGAAACACAGCTGCAGTCACCAGTTTAATTTGGAGGAAACCAGACATCTTAATCAGGTTTCTGCTAAATCAGAGTATGAGCTCATACACAATCAGACTGCATGAAGAACTGGGAGAGGAAGGGAATCCTTTGTGCATGTGAACGGGAGCAACGAGACCACATCACATCGCTCACTGGGTCATTTTAGGGTTTTAGTGGCTGGATGTTCAGACAAGGCCGAGCTGGCTGTAATTACACCATGCTCTGGTGTGTTGGCCACTGACAGAGACATAAACCATCTACAGACATCATGGCTGTGAGCTCTTTGTGGTGGTTCGGGGCTTTTCCATGCAGCCTCAGTCCAGCTTCAAACTGTCTGTTTCCTTTTGATGACTCAATCACTTCTCTTTCTGCCTCCTCCCAAAGATACACCTGTAATCCCAGAAGCACCATGTTTGTAAAAACAAGAGGAAGTAAAAACTAAGTAGAAAACTACACAAGTGCTGCACAGTTGCAAACACTACACTGACTCTTTTCAGTAAATATTGTGCATAAGCTAGTTTCTGTTTGCTTCTGTATGGTGTGGCCCACTGCTCAGTGTTTTTAAAGCAGATCCCACCTGCATAGACTTTACATGAGATGATGTCATGCAAGTAAATGAACACTTTGTTAAGCTCTGGGAATTTTTTCCATGGATTAAAAACTCATAGTACAAATAGTGGAGTAATAATTGACATTGTTTGAAGTTGGAGGTGTCTGATGCTGGTCTGTAGGAAAATGCATTTTGGCTGCAGGGGATTTTTTTTGTTTGTCCCCATCACTGCCTGTGTGTCTGCCCCCTGTTCTTCCCCAGCAGAGACTCCAGATGTCTACATCGTGGAGCGTCTCTTCTCCAGCAGTCTGGTTGTCGTGGTGAGCACCTCCATGCCGCAGCGAATGAACATCTACCACTTCAAGAAGGGGACAGAGATCTGCAACTACAGTTATCCCAACAACATCCTTGCTGTCAAGCTCAATAGACAGGTGAGCTACCCCGTTTCACACCCCCTGCTTATGCACACACCATAGACATTTTCATTAGGGTGGGGGACAATTATTTCAGAGCTTATCACACTCACAGAGCACACTTTTCCACATCATGGACGCCATGAACACAGCATGACCGACCAGCTAACCGTTAGCATCCTGACAGGTTCTGTCAGAAAGAGCTACCAGCATCACAGTCTATTACACACAAATATGACTCATAGGCTAGCAACAGCCTTAACCAATTGAGACACATAGTGGGACAGTACATGATAAAACAAGTATAATATTATAATTATTATTTTAAACGTGCAAAAAACCAGGACAATTTAGAAGTTAATGATGAAAACCAGGATAATTCTGTGGTTTCCAGGTATTTGTTGGGACTCAGGACTCACAGCTTGAAACCAGTACAATCCTGGACAAACAGGGGCATCTGATCACCATAATTCTAACACAACCCTGTTACATGCTTGGACATCAAGACAGTGGTTAGATTTCTGCTTTGTTGTTCATTTTCAATGGTATGTTTAACTTGGTTACAAAAGTAACTAACTAAGAACTAATTAATATGTTAATGTAACACTGTCATGGGTAATGGTGGCTTGAGTGACTGCTTCCTTATGTCTTGGACAGCTAATGACCATCAGTCTGTGTCTTGACCCTTTGGAGACACACTGAGACAACTCAAATAAACCAGAGCCCCTCTGACCTGCTGTTCATGCTTACTCAATGAGCTGATTCACGTAGCAAACCATTACACTCCTTCATTTCCAACAGAGGATATGTTTAATTTGAGTCTCTTTGGTGCATCGCCACCAACTGGAAACATTTAAACAGAGGACACAATGTTCAAAATATTTTTCCAGTGCTCAACATGCAAAGTTGTTAACTTGATCACCAAACAAAAATGCGACACGACTGTAAACAGCATGTAGCCTCTAATGATTGTATGGCTTCATAAGCATGTGGTTCATGTGCTGCAACAGCTGGGGTGAGTTTGACCTGCATCATGTTGTGGGGCTGATTTTTTTTCACTGACCCTTTAATACTGGAGGTATTCACTTATGTTAACACATATGTTTTAGTTCATGATAAGAATGGCAAAATGCCCCAGGGCCACTGACCTTCAGGGGCCCCAAAGGCTCCAGAGTCACTTGTTTTGCAGTTAGTTTGTGGTACTTACACATTTGTTTGTTAATACTGTATGTATCAGTAAAACACATTATAATAAGGGCCTTACACAAAACCTGTATTATTACTTAATTCTCTGGCCCCACCTTGTACGGCAGACCCTGAGTTGTAAGGCCTGCAATGTGTCACTATACAGTAGTGTGCAAAGGATTTAGGCAGTTTAGGTGTTTAGATCTTCTCCATCACATCGGCCCATTAGGACGCGTCTGGTTGGTCCCAAATTCATTCTGCAGCGGGACGAGTCCAAACATACAGCCAGAGTCAAAAAGAACTTTCAGAGACCAGAAGAACAGTCTGGGATCACATGAAGAGACAGAAGACGTGGAGAAAGACTAAAACCACAGAGGAAACTGTGTAGACCTGGTGCTGGTTTAAAGGCAGAAGGGGGGTCACAGCAAGTACTGAGTTTCTGTTCATTGCTCTTTGTATGAGGTTAACTGTGAAATAAAAACTATTCATGACTTCATGTTTTAAAACAGCTTCAGTTTTAGTGCCTAAAACCTTTGCACAGGACTGGACGGACAGTGACAAATTAAAACCGACATAAAGTATCTTAGGCAGCTGTTGTTCCACCACATGTCTGCAGAACAGCTTCACTGCTACAAGTCTCTGGACTCTACTTGAGGATGAACTCCATTCTTCCCAAACATATTCACTGATGATGATGGTGGTGGAGAGCGCTGTCTAACACGTCGCTCCAGCATCTCCTGTAGGTGTTCAACTGGGTTGAGATGTGGTGACTGTGAAGGTCACAGCATATGATTCACATCATATTCAGCCTCATCAAAACATCAGTGAGCCCTTGTGTCCTGTGGATGGAGACACTTGTTTTTCAGGTTTTTCCTTTAATCTGTGACCATCTCTATGTTGTGGTCACACAATGCTTAATACATTTGTGCTTAATCAAGTTTCCACAAATGAATCGTTGGTTTGTTTATTTGTTTGCTTATAGGGGGCAGAGCACATTAATCAACTCTTGACATTAAACCATAAATGTTTGCACCTGTAGCCAGATACAACTAAACAACAGTTTACAACCTGTTACAGCACCCAGAAGTGCCCAAAACCTGTTGATGTTTTAAAGGGAATATCCCTCAATTTAAATTTGCACTCTCATGGCTCAACTGGTAGAGCATGTACCACTTAGACTAATTCCTTACTGCCTTTGCTGCATGTCATCCCCTCTCTCTCCCCAACTTTCCTGTCACTCTCTCACTGTCCCTGTCTGAATAAAGGCAAAAACTGCCCAAAAAAAAAAAAATCGAATTGCACTCCATAAAGTTGGGCTCTCACAACAGACAGATAAAATAACAATAGTCAGAAATGAAGAAGCAGAGACAGAGATTTCCTGACATTTACTTCCTAATATGGGTCACGTTTCTCATATTCCTGAATAGTACTGAACTACTAGTAGTACTAATGAACTGAACTTCACCTTCAGTGCCCCTTCAAAGCTCAACACAGGTCACAGATTAGGGAACACTATTAAATACGAATGCAAAATCAGTGCAGCTTGAATGTCAGCAGCTGCCTAAAAGGACAAGTATTCTAGAAAATCCAAATGTATAGGTTATAAACCACACTTCCTCAGCATTCTCTGATGTTACACACATCTGCGGAATGAAGGTGAGGAGTTCATGTGTTCTCTAACAACACAGAATCTGTCAGCACACTTTCAGGAGGACTGTTGACAGAAATGTGATCTTTGAATCAATAGAGGGCACATGGGCAGTGCCCCAGCAGCCACAAAGCTGAATTCAGAGTCTGCAAACTTTACAGTAGGAAAAACAACACAATGCTCTTTTGTATTTCCTTCACTAACAGCACACACTAATTCAGCACTGGCTTCCTCCTGATCCTCCCTCCATCTACTACAAGTAAATGGGTATAAGGGCATTTTCACACCTAAAGTCTGTTTGCTCTGGTCTGACTCAGTTGATGAGTTTGTAAACTTGTAGGTTCAGTTTGCTTTCACGCACAGAAAAATTCAAGTGTACCAAAATGCATCATTAAAAAACCACGTGAGAACGTTCTCCTCTTATTGTTCAGATTGTCTGGCGGGAGCAGGAAGGTAAACACAGGAAGAAGGTTGCGGGAACCGTATTGCTCAAACTTGAGTGAGATTAGTGTTTTCACACCTGCCCAAACGAATCGTACCAAGGGGGAAAACCAACCAGGGTTCAGTTTAACGGAATAAAAAGCGCAGGTGTGAAAGCACCCTAAGGGTGCCAGAGAGAGGGCACTGTTAATGAGTGATCAGCCAATCAACACCTCACCCAAGGGATGTTGTCCCTTGCTTCTCGTCTGATCAATAACTGCAGCTTATTGTTAGAGTAGAGACATTTAGCAGCTCTATTCCTCTCAAAAAATGAAGTGAAAAATGAGATGTGCTGCATAAGCTATATTAGACCTATGCACCACTGAGCTGATCATGTGCCAACAAGTGTCCAGGTCCAAGAGAAGGAGCACAAACACCTAAAGGATGCTTTTAAAGCTTGTGGTTACCCTATCAGGACCTTTGTGAAAACAGACACAAGATTCAGGAAGAACACCAGCGCTGTGGGTGGTGAGGAAAAAAGAACAAACGTTGTCATCCCATGTATGTCAGGTGAATCTGATCAACAAGCAGCACATCCCTGTGTTTTTCAAACCCAGCAACACACTCAGACAGAAACTGGTCCATCCAAAAGACTGTACACCCAAACACAAGAAAAACAGTCTAGTGTATGCAGTCCAAAGAAACTAAACAACCATTACTGATGTGGTCAGCTCTATGGATGAGAAGTGAAATGTCTTTGAGTATCTACAAGTCCAGTTGCCCCCATTTCGGCCAGGACCTGGATGACTGACAGTTTCACAGACATGTGAAACTGTAGCTTTGAGGAAGTGATTGTGAACAGTTTGGATGTTGTTGTGACTGTTCCTATAATGAGTTTGACTGATGTGAGCTGATAGAACACTGACTGCATCACAGTGTAATGACCTGATGCCTGTTGTGTATTGCAGAGACTTGTGGTGTGCCTTGAAGAGTCCATTTATATCCACAACATCAAAGACATGAAGCTGCTCAAGACTCTTCTCAACACTCCGTCCAACCCCTCAGGTAAAACACATACCAAGAGACAGGAACTGGCTCAGAGTAAGACACATGTTTTTTCTGTGGTGCAGTGACAGCCGGGCTGGACGACTGAAACAACTTCTGACAGGATGATTCTGATTACACCTTGTTCAGGTTTTAGCTATCATTCCTATCTGAAATAATAACACTGTACTCACCAAGATAATTGCCTCATAAAAAGAAATCTGACAGGGCAAGAAACAGAAGCAACGAGATGACTAGGAAGGTGGTAAACAGAGTGCTGCAGGGATGATGTATTTTCATATCATCACCCTGGTTCTCTCGATAACAATCCAACAAGGATTTTTTAAGTATTACAGAAAATAAACAACAGTTTATGATACTGACAGGTTTGTTCAGCAGGATAATCTTCATGAATGAACACCGCTTTATGATATTTAAAATCTAACCAGCACATGATTTCAACGTACCCACTGCTAACCTTAATCTTGTAATTTGATGTAGCTCTGACCTCTTCTACAAAAGCCTTTCCTCTTACATAGTTAGTGATAGTTTGTAAGAGCGCAAGTACAAACACACAAAGCTGTAAAAGTGGACTGGTGAATAGATTATTGTTAAACTTGATGACATTTAAAGGAGCTATTTGTAAGATTTGCTATCGCTACATAGCTAAAGTTAGCATTAGCAACTGTTTACTTACCAGTCTAGAAGAAACCTTGTGGGTTCAGCATCAACTTCAGTCCTTCACTCACCAACATCTGTCTCCAACCTCTGTAGTTTCATTTAGAGACTTGTTAGCGATGGCCTTTTTTTTTAAGAATATTTTAGTCATTTAACCAAAAATCCATTTAACAAACAAGAGACTTAGGGACAAGGGAACCTGAGGTGCAAAAATGCAAATTTATCTCTGAAATCTATTTTAGCTAGTTTTTTTTTTATTGCATTCATTTTATTAATTATTTTTTTAAATTAATTCATAAATCACATCACTCATGCGCAGTCACCTGCGTACCATGGTGCATGGTGTGCATCCTTTTGTTTTTGTCTGTCAGTGTTTCTTTCATCGATGGTTTGTGGTTCCTAATATATCTCTGCTATTCTGTTATTTTGTCAGTGATTGTAACACACACAAACTACATCCATCAGCACCTCTCTGAAACACTTTGAGAAAAAGCTGAATATTATATACCTTCAGGATTTATTGCAGTACCATCGTTTGCCAGTCAGTTATTTTTTGTCCATGACATATTTACATTTTCTCTCCTCCTGCAGGTCTCTGTGCTCTGTCTATCAATCATTCCAACTCCTACCTGGCATACCCCGGCAGTGCCACCATTGGGGAGATCATAGTGTATGATGCCAACAATTTGGTAAGCAACATTTAATCACAGAATACCTCAACTGTTGTGCTACCATCTGTCATCCTCAGTGTCTATAGGCTTGTACAATAGAGTTCTTTGTAGCCTACAGTGTGGGTTATAGAATCCATCACAGTCTGACAAACAAGCAACAAACCAGACGGACTGAACCAATATAAAGCCAAAGATGCAAGTAAATTTGTAAAAGATGGTTTGTGCTATAGCAAGTAATTTTAATATGTTCAATATGTTATGATGTCACCTTTCATAAAACAAGAATTATACATCATAATTTGAAGGCTGTTTGTGAATGTTAACAAAGGTATGAAATATATGCTGAAAATGGGGTCACAGGATGAGTTGGAACATTTTTCCAGTTTTATTGAAAATTAAGCAAGCCAAGTCTTAAATTTGAAAAACCTTAATGATACAATGAAAAAAAAAGTCTGAAAAAGAATGCAAACATGATATAAAACAGGCCTTTTTCAGGGATGAAGAAATTTTGCATGGTTTCAGCAATGGAAGTAAATGAAGCTGTTAAAGGAGCTATTTGTAAGCCAAGGTTAGCATTAGCAGCTGTTTAGTTTCCAGTCTTGCTGAGAGCTTCAGCCATCGTTTACAAGACAAGAGGTTATAATATGTCCTCTGAGCAGATACTTTTTCAGGGCAGAATGACTCAGTATCAGAAAGTAACGAGATGGGCGGACTGGGCCAAGGCTAGCTGGTTAGCATGCTAACTTCACCTTGTGAGTGTATGTGTGTTGTGCATTCGTCTATGTAGGTGCATACTCTCTTGACAATGACCCCTTAAAATAATTGAATTCAGACAGGGTTTTGTAGGTCAATCACTAGGCGCTGTCTCAAGATAGCAATGCACCTGCAATGCACTGGACACATACCTCATTTTAAACAAACACGCCCATGGATTCAGAGGGTTGCAAGTGTATCTGCTATTTAAACAATGTAGGCGCTGGACAAAAAAATTACAACTGGGTCAGTCTGAAACTAGCAGAGACACTTGTGTTCTGTTTTGTACCACTATGCGGCGGGTGTAAGATAGAGCCCAGTTTGTCAAAACTCTTTCAACACTAGTCTGTACTTTTAAACTGAAGGGCAAACACCTGCTGTTTTCTCTGATAGCATTTCCTCTGAAGAGGTTTTGTCTCAGGTCATCTTCTCTTCTCTCAGTGCTCTGCTCTTGTTTGTCTGACACCGTTTACACCGATGGCGCCTTCCCCGGTGTCGGTTTGTATGACACCTGAGACTTCATGATATTCGTTCACTTAATTTTTTTTTGTTGAAGCCTTCTACAGTCTGGGCTGAGAGCACTTTTGTTGATGCACACACAAGTTTAGAATTTCTTGTTGTGTTCCAGTGTGTGTTAGCTCTCATGTTCATAATATTGTTCATATTATCTCAGGTTTCTTTTTACCTGGAAATACAGCAGCAGACCTCAGTCACACGCTGACTGTCCATGTGAACTGAGCCAGACAGAGAACACCTACCTCTGCTCTCTCTTGCTTCATCCTGCACAGCAACAGGATGAAAACAGCTTTAGCTTGTTTTTGTCATGACTTATTTTTTGACATTGTGTCATGATACTGCTAACATGAAAATACATACAGGCATGTAGATACATCATAAGAAAAACAATGCATTTAAAATGATTACACAATGAATACATGGGAATATTTTATATAGCCCAATATCACAAATCAGAAATTTGCCTCAAGGGGTTTAACAATCTGTACAGCACACTTAGACCCTTGAATTGGACAAAGGAAAACCTCGCCAAAAAAACCCTTCAATGGATTCAAAAGGGAGAAACCTCAGTAAGACCAACAGAGAAGAGACATGCAATAGCTGTCATGTAGAGAATAGAACAACATAGTAGATTTACAATATGGACAATCAGGATATAGTGTAAACATACTGTATAGTATATGAGTATAAGTATAAGTATATGATCTTAGAGTACACTGAGCAATGTCCAGGTGCCGCCCACAGACAGGACCTGAGCCACACTACCTCCTCTTCACTGTGAGGGCCTGCCCAGAGGACAGACTTCACAAACAAGAGAGAGAGAGAGAGAGAGAGAGAGAGAAACACAGCCTGGGTGCTCATCTGCTTGAGGGAATAAACAGTTTTAGAGAGATGTTGTCAGCAGAACTATATGGACTGAACTATATGTACTATGTTTAATGGATTCCTTAAGGCTGAAACCATTAACAATGTTAACAGGTACCTGGTCTGAAGTAATCAATGGATAAGCCACTGACTGAAAGTTAACATATAAAGATTTGTATAAATTTGGATTTAAATGCCTGAAAAGACTTCTAGACAGTCTGATTGGATGTTGTTCTAGAGGAAAACACCCTCCAACCTGCTGACTTCTTTTAACTGTATTCTGACAACAAAGAGCATGAGATGGAATATAAGGTTGACAGGTCAGACATGAAAGAGCTCATTTATGATTTTGTATGCCATTAAATTATTGCATCATTCTCTATCTGAGCATTGCATTTTAAACCCTCATCAGTCTGGTTTCAGACCTATAGACATAGCACCGTGACAGCAGCATGTGAGGTAGTAAACAATATCATCTCTTCCCTGGATAGGAAGGAGTGTTGTATTTGACGAAAGCATTTGACACAGTGGGTCATTCTATTCTTTGGATAAACTCAGATCACTTGATTTTGACACAAATGCATATAACTGGTTTCACAGTGATCTTACTGGCAAAACTCAAGCCATAGTTGCGGACGGATGACTCTGGTTTCTTTGAAGTTAAAATAGGGGTGCCACAGGACTCAGTACTAGAACCTATCCTGTTCTCATTGTACATAAATGACCATGGGACGGTTGCACATAACACCTTAAGTTTTCAACTTAAGTATGGCTGTTACGACCCCAGTGGTTGTCTGGTGCTGCTGCTCTCTCTCCCTCCAGGTGTTGCGCCTCCTCCAGTGAGACGATGAGCTGTGCACAGGTGGATCTATTTTGGCGGGATTGTCGGGAGGTGACATATGGGGAGGAGGGGGCTTAGTCGAGTGGGTGGGTCAGAATGTGGCAACGTGTTTCCCGCATGTGTGATACTCCTTGCGTGAAGGAGGGTGTTTTTTCAGACTTTGCCTGAGGTTCCATTTTGTTCTTTGGTTGTTAACCCTGGTGGTTTAGAAGCCAGCGCTTTTTTGTTGTTCTTTTTTGCAGGACTTTTGCTTTAGTAATAAAAATCATTGGTTTTCGCACACTTTCGTTTTGCCTCCTTATCTTCCTTTCCTCCCTGAACACTTTTTTCATTTGTTACTTCTCATCCCCTGGCAAACATCGGGGAACTTAACAATGACACTTTAGGTTTAATTTCTCCTTAGCAGAGAGAGTTCATTAAGGGTGTTGGATAGAATCTCTTAAAAGGTTTCCTTAGTTAATGAAAAAAGTTGAGGTATTTTCCACAGTGAAGGAGATTTTACTATGGTAAAATTCTAGTTTCCATGGAGACCGTTTGCTGGTATTAGCTTGTGATGTGGTTTAAGGATGTCTCACGGGTGCAGCACACTCTTCCTGGGATCCGTTCATTTTCTTCATTTATCCCCATAAACTAAAATCCATTTAGCTGTTAAGATGGAGTCAGAGGTACCTTTAGTTTTTTTCCTTACTTTGGTCACTAAAGTCTTTGTGCAACAGTTTAATTGACTAAGTGATTCCTTAAGACTAAGATAAGGAGAAATACTTCAGTGAACTTTTTAAGGAAACCTTAAGGGGAAAATCTTAAGGTGTTTTGTGCAACTGGTCCCTGAAGCCTATACACTGAACACCCAGGATAACTTATCTGGTTTAACTGAACCTATCATCTGCCCTGATAACCTATACTATGAAGCTGGTTGTCAACTGGCTCAGTTAACCCTGGTTTACCTGTCTGGCTACAAGCGTGTTCATGCGAAAGAGGAAGAGTTGTTAATTATAAGCAACATCGTCAGACCCATGAATAAAGTACTTAATATATGTTTTGAGAAGAAACACTGACACCAGCAGGTTAATTCAGCTATAGTGACCCATGTCAGTGAGTTCAGTGAACTTCAGTGGCCCCCTTAGTCTCCAGACCTGAATCTAGTAGAACAACTTTGGGATGTGGTAGAACAGGAGATTGCAGCAAGAATGTGTTAGGTTCACTGAATGTAGGACCACAAGATGCAGACTCCGGACACCGAATAGGATGAGAATCACAAATTTATTTTGTATAGAACCAGTAAGGGGGCTGAGGGCCGATGTGGATCCAGGCTGTGGAGTATCCAGAACGTGAGTAGCTGAAGCAGAGCTGGTTGATGAGAGGAATGGAGCCAGAAAGCAGGACACAGGAACTAGACACCGGAGAATCACAGGTTAGAGCCAAAATCACAAAAAAATACAAAGTAGTCAAACAGTAGTCAGAGGTTTACCACGGGTGGGTAACGGACGATCTGGCGATGAGTGGAAGAATGAACTGCTCTTTTATCCTGCAGCAGTGTAGGTGGCTTGATTGTGAGATGAGGAGCAGGTGAGTGATTGCAACGGCTGTACGGCTGATTCCAGTTGACCTCCTGGCGCCGCCCCAGCTCCAGACAGACACAGACAAAGACACACCCACAAAGGAGAAGGGAAAACACGGAGAAAATACAGGACCGTGACAGAATGTGCAGCTTACAAATCTGCAGAAATGATGTGATGCATCATGTCAACATGGAGCAGAGTCAGAGAGGAAAGTTTTAACATCTGATGGATCAATGACAAGAAGAACTGAGGAACTACCCAGTGTTAGTGTGCTGTTCCTAATAAAGTGCTCAGTGAGTGTATCTGTGTTAAGACTAATGAAAAAAACCAAACCAAACCAATGTGTTAGTTTGACTCTCAGTACTTTCTGACATCTCTCCTCTGTCTGTGGCTCTCAGCTCTAAGCCCATTGGTTTGTAAATCTTTATGATGGCTCACAGACAAAAACTTTAATTTCTAATAACTGTCCTGTCATTTCCTAAAACAGCTCATTGCATATAGTTATTATAGATGAATAATGTTATAATGCTGTGATGAGTATTTGGAGCGTCAGGGCAGTGTCTGTGGGACTGGACAAACATAAATTACTGTGTGTGTGTGTGTGTGTGTGTGTGTTTGTGTGTGTGTGTGTGTGTGTGTGTGTGTGTGTGTGTGTGTGTGTGTGTGTGTGTGTGGCTCTGACATAGTGGAAATATTTCACCAGTCACTTGTCTAGGTGACATAAACATAAAATGGAGTAACACTCTTTCTTTCTGTCTCTTGGTCATTTCAGCACACAGTGACATTGATCCCAGCTCATGACAGTCCTGTGGCAGCTCTCACCTTCAACACCCCGGCCACAAAACTTGCCAGTGCCTCAGAGAGAGTAAGAAAGACCCACCAGAGACCACCAACCTGTCCATGTCTCACACCTCTGAGACAGACAAACTCAAATCCAAAAGATGGAATGAGAGCTAGTCCCAGAGTGGCAGTCCATCCAGCCAATACTGTAGTCCTGTTAATGATGTTCATGGTTCCAGAGAATGAATCCTGACCTGCTGACCTTTCTTCTCACAACATCATCAGGCTGAATTTCTTTTCCTACAATGCCACAGTATTCTCTCGTACAAGGGAAATTCAACAATCTGACAGATTAATATAAAATGAATTGAGATTCCATGAGCATTCTACAAGTACCATTTTTAAGTCAAAATGTGAACATTGGACACATTCAGATTTTTTTTATTTAAATAACCTCAGGCCTTTCCTCTAGTGCCACCCCCACGTCAGACTTTGCATCCATCAATCTAACTTTATAACTCTTCAGTATCATCATGTAGATTTTTACTCTTGCTACATATATGATTATAAATGAGTGACACTGAAGATCATCACTCTGCTATAAAATACGTAGCTCTTGTAAACCAGAGTAAATATATCACCTCACTGTCTTTACAGGGCACCGTTATCCGAGTGTTCTCCATCCCTGAGGGCCTGCGTCTGTTTGAGTTCCGCCGGGGCATGAAGAGGTCAGACTTCACACACACTGCCTCATGTCACCTGGGTTCACCTCTTGGCTCGGTGGCTGTTGTCATTGCCACTCAGTGATTTGATTGTAGGATTGCTGGTAGCAGCATCACTGTTGACACCATAAACTCCACTTTTCCGTCCACCATTTACCCCTAAAACAAAGGCAACTGCCCTCCACGTATCATCAGCATCATGTCTGTAGTGTCTTTAAGCTTCTTTTGTCCCATTTTAAGATTTTCTTTTGAGAGATAGACTGTAAATAAAGATGGACGTAGCCTCTGTGACAGCACCCACAGGTTTTTGAAGAATAGGTTTGAAGCTCAGGGTGAGCTGCTCAGAGTGAGGTGCTCAGCTGTCGCCATTTTGGCAGTGTCTGACTTCGCCCTTAGCTTCTATATCCTAATCCAAAAATGGTCAAAGAGGGGACGTCATGTGGCGTAGTGGTCTAAGCAGGCGCCCCATGTGTAGAGGCTACAGTCCTCGCTGCAGTTGGCCCTGGTTCGAGTCCTGCATTGGACAGCCTTTGCTGCATGTCATTCCCCCTCTCTCTAATGTACTATCAAATAAAGGCATAAAAAAGCCCAAAAAATATACTTTAAAAAAAAAAAAAAAAATGGTCAAAGAGGATAGGCGTGTGTGGAGCTGAGATTTCAGTGCATGATGGCTTGTGTCAAGCATACGCTCATCCACCTGTCACTCAAAGCAGCCATGACCTCAGTTATTCATAACTTTAAGGCTTAATAAAAATGTAAACAGGTGAGTTATATAAACAGTTGTCATGAAGGAGGTAATTAGCTGTAGAGACAAAAACTTTTTTTTTGTACCAGGCTGTTAACATGTTTATTTTTGCTGTAAAGTTGGATTGGATTTGGATGGATTTGGATTTTAACATGGGAGTCTATGGGGATTGACTCACTGTTGGAGCCAGACTCTAGTGGTCAATAGTGGGAACTGCAGTTTTTGGGATGTTGGCTTCATTTCACAGCCTTGAGGGGCTTGATGCTTGTTTTCAGTGTTTGGATTAACACAATTTACTGCCGTCAATGAGCAGTTTGAGTCTCAATTTACCCAGAATTCATTCATAGCATTTTTTTTTTTTTATTCATTTTATTTTACACAAATCACATATACTAGATATACTCTCTCAATTTCCTGACCATTTATTTTAATATGAACATGTTCAACATTACTTTGATTTCTATTGGAATAAAAACATGAAGTTTGTCTTGATTATATTTAATTATTTAATGCATTTAAACCACCTATCCGCCTCAACCAGTCGTTGGAGCGCTGCAATGTAGACAGATTGTCATGCAAGCAGCAGACTTCATGACATCCTAATGACTGATTACAGTTATTAAATTATCTTTGTTGGCTTAGATCCTCACTGAGCTTGAGGGTAACAAAATGGCTTATTACTGATGAGGTCAAGTTAGTTATCCAAGTATTGATTATTTTTCCAAGTGTTTATGCAAGTTGATGTTCATTGTGTGTGTGTGTGTGTGTGTGTGTGTGTGTGTGTGTGGTGTGCGTATGTGTGTGTCTGTCTGTTTGTCTGCAGGTACGTCAATATAAGCTCTTTATCCTTCAGCCCTGACGGCCAGTTCCTCTGTGCTTCCAGCAACACAGAGACCGTGCATATCTTTAAACTGGAACAACTGGGACCAAGGTACACTCACACACAAACTCACACACACAGACACACATAGATACACACACACACACACACAGACACACACACACACACACACACACACACACAGTTACTTTAACCATGAAGTAAGAACCTGTAGCACTCACCAAAGTGTAAATCCAGCTGTAGGACAACCTTGTTCTGACACAAGCTTGTTACCCGTACACAGTGGAGGGGACGAGGCTGCCACCTGGACAGCCTACATGGGGAAGATGTTCTCAGCAGCCAGCAGCTACCTCCCTGCACAGGTGTCTGGCATGATGAGCCAGGACCGAGCCTTCGCCACCGTTCACCTCGTTACGTCTGGCCAGAGGAACGTCTGCACCCTGGCAATGTGAGCTTCTCTCTGGTCTTTAGGAATCAGGGGCTGCACTCTGTCATTCTATCGTTGTGTGTGTGTTCTTGTAAGTTTATCATTGTCAGAACCTGTTGTGTTTTTAGATATTGACAGGGAAGAGATTTTAAGTCCTCACCTCCTTATAGAGATGGGTTCTGTGACCAGTTTCTGTCCAGCAAAATTCACAGATTTGTTAAACTCAAATGCTAATTAATCTTAATCTCATCTCTATTTTTTAATCTCTCCTGGTTATTTTTTACAGAAGCATAATGCATTCACCTGAGAACAAAAATTTGCTCTGTTTTTCTGAATTAAGATTATCATCTGAGAATTCTATGATATGATCTTGTTCATTCAGAGAAACAGAACAGATTATTTTTCTTAAGTGAATGCATTGCGCTTCTGTAAGTTTTTACTCACAAAGACCAAAGCTAAAAACATGCAGGTTCTGACTTGATTCCTCTAGTAAGTTCCTCCAGTAAATTGTGTTATTTATTAATCTGACTGATGAACATCTGGTCAGTATGTGGTTTTTAGACATCCTGCCAGAGGACTGCAGTTGAAAATTAGCCTGTTGGCTAACACTGGCACATTTACAGAAAGGTTAATTAATGTACACTGTCCTTTTCAAATAAATAAATAAATAAAAATAATAAAAATTACATCAGCTTCAATTCATAATAATTCTGTAACAGCGCCACTGAACTTACTCTTAAAAATGTTAAATGTTTGTCACAACAATTAATATCAATCAGCCATCAATGTTTCATATCCTCTCATTGTTGGAGCTCTAGGTTGTTTTATTAATGTTAATGCTGATTCATTTAGAGGCTGACACTAAAAACAGCTGATCACAGACTGGAACTGCATGTTTGACTTGTTATTTATAACCTAAGTTATTTGAAAATGATGAAAGCTGCATTTAAAAAGATTTAGTGAACGATTGAAAGCGATTTGGATCTGATAGGTAGATCTGATACTGGATTAGGATTCCATAGATGTGGGTTGACACTGTGATGGTCAAGCTCTTTGGAGGGTGACAAAATGTTCCTCTCTTTTGAACTGGGCTAAAGTGAATGTCTATGATCTTAAAAATTGTAATGGAAACTCAAACTGTTTCAGGATCCAGAAGCTTCCACGGCTGCTGGTGGCCACGGCCAACGGCCACCTTTTCATCTATAATGTGGATCCACTGGACGGAGGCGAGTGCACATTGGCCCACAAACACAGGTGAGGATGGATGGGTGATCAGCATCAGGCTAAGGCTCTGCACTCTGATACACAGATCAATGTTTCAACACACACGGCCTCATTCAGATCCAATGTTCTGCTTATACAAGAAGTTCATAACTTACATGTCAACAGGATGGAAAGAAAATAAGAATTACTCATTTATTTAAAATTCATGGAGATTTGATAGAGACATTAATTTTGCAATTATCTCTTATCTGTAATTAGGTAAAGATCCTAATTTATGCTTAATTTTGAGCAGCTGGATCAGTGAGGTTTTGTTAGGACAGATTTTCATAGACAGTTCTCCAGTCCTTGACGACCTTCAGTGGCCATTCTTATATTTTCATATGTTGAAAACCTCCTATCATGATCTGTCAGCAGTAATCAGGAAACAGGAAACCAGCCAGTATTCATGGCACATGGAGTTCATCACAGACCTCACGTGTCTGCTCTGCTCTTTGCTTTATCTCTTGAATCACAAAGATTCAGAACTGTGAGGTAGATAATGAGAGGATGTGTAGGTGATAAAATGTTGTTATTCACAAATGATCTGAGAAATACACTGGGAAATATTCTGTAGCATAATGATTCATATCAGTGTCTTCACAGAGCAGACAACATCAACACAGAATGTACAGAGAGGTCATTCCCTGACATCCATATATCTACTTTATCTGTTACAGGAACCAGTTCATGCTAAATAAATAGAGAATCCAAGACAGGGTAGAAAACATGTGGATGCATGTAAATAAAGTAATACATTAACAAAAAATAAACATAATTAACATAAATACTCTGCAATTTCCTGAACATATCCTAGATGAGGATATGTCCTAAGATCTCCTTGCTTCCTTCACTCTCTTCCTCTCCTAGGCTCTTTGGTGTTGATGATGTCCAGGGTGAAAGAACAGAGTCACAGGGGTCAGAGTTCACAGGGCCAGCACAGGCCTGTCCATCCTACGCTGCAACCGCTGCCTTACCAGCCTCTGGACCTGTCACTGCGACCCTCACTGGTTAGTCATCACCAACACTTCTCCACAACTCTTAATGAAAGCTTTGACTTCTCTCTCAGGATGTGGGTTTTCTTCAAAAGGTAACATAGTAGCCATGGGAGGGTTTGTCAGTCCAACCACTAATGAAGCACAGTGGCCCCTGCTTTATAGGAGTAAAGAAAGGGATCACTGTTATTAGTCAGTGTTTGTAAATAAACTACTGAACTCATTTTTTCATAATGATGAGATATGGCTCATGAATGTGTTTTAATCATTGTTGGAGAACAATGGAACTCTATGCAGAACAATCTGGTTCTAGATACATGGACATGGCTTGTTAGTCTGATACAGACACATTCACTGTTGTTTTGGTCTTTTCATGGGATTTGTTGACAGTAAGAAAGATATAGAAAATAAAATCTCCTTATCCTTTAACATTGTCTTCACTATCAACACCATCAGAAAATTGAGGAAAAAGCACAAACCTGATCAACTGACCCACCACAGAAGCACTTACAGCTGCTGGAAGCCCTTAATGCACAACTTTACTTCAATTCCTTTCAGCCTGAAGCCTCTCATGTTAAAATGCTTCAGATGAATCCTGTGGGTTTTTCTCATGATTTTTCTGTCTCTTCTGTTTGGACCCAGGCTACTCTGAAGACGGTGGGGCAAAGAAAGGCGAAGTCATTCCAGAACATGAGTTTGCTGCTGGACCTGTATGTCTGGACGACGAGAACGAGTTTCCTCCCGTGAGCATCCAGAAGTGCTAACTGTCAGCTATAGCTAGCTCTGCTACAACAGATGTAATGTATAAACATCAAATCGTTGAGATTACAAACTAAATGCTTCTCTGTGACCCCACATTTTCTGACCGTCCAATATCAGCAATATGCTCAGCCAATCACAGCACGGTCATGAACATTGGACTTTACCCAATCTGAGGACAAAGTTTTATGGACATAATCCACATTAGCAATAAATGGCTGACTCGGTCACCAGTTTATTAGGTACACCAACATAAAACTACAGCAGTCCTGCAGTAAGTTCTCATTTCATGAAGGTTGTAATGATCAGATTCTGAAGTGTTTTCAAGAGGATTTGAGACTTTATTATTATTTTTAGCTTGTGATCCAAGGTGTTTTTTGTTTTTTTTAAAGTATATTTTTTTGGGCTTTTTATGCCTTTATTGATAGTACAGTAGAGAGAGACAGGAAATGGGGAGGCAGAGAGAGGGGGAATGACACGCAACAAAGGCCATCCGATGCGGGACTTGAACCAGGGCCAACTGCAGCGAGGACTGTGGCCTCTACACATGGCTGCCTGCTTAGACCTCTGTGCCACACGACGCCTCTCCCAAGGTGGTTTTTATTGTCATTGATTTAAATAGGGTAATACTCAAAGTGGCAGCAACAATGGCCACAGTACATGTGAATTCCAACACCATTCAGAAATAGTTGAAAATGTAGAAGGCGACCTCCTCGTCCTCAGATTCATTCGCTCTTTCTCTTACAGATTTATTTTGCAGCTTTATCTGTTTCTTCAAAGTCTATCAGCAAAGCCCCTTTCAGACACACAGCCCTTTATGGCAATTTAACATGTTGCATTCATGTCTCAATAACCCTGGTCACTTTCACATAAAAGTCGCAACAGCAAGCTTATCTGCAACATTTTCATATCACTCTCAACTTGAACAAAGTCAGACTAAGGTAAAGATGCAGCAGCACAAGGTGGAGCACAGAGATTAAATGTTTGCTTTATGTAGAACTCAAAGTACTGTAATAATTCTTCTATTATATGCCAAGAAAATACAAGTCGGTATGAAACCAGGAAATACTGTGATTGTTGAGGAGATCAGTGTCATCTCTGTCTAGAGAAAAATAAGAAAATCTCATTAAACCAAAGTAATAATCACAGCCTTTCCCATTATATTTCTGATTTACACTGCATGATTGGATAATGAATATCCAGCTAAATGCTTTAACTACAGTGTGTGAGCAAATTCAGATTAATTAGTCTCAATTTAATGACCTGTCGGTCTATACTGGTGTGATTGGTCATTTAGGAGGATTCTGGGATTGACGCTCACAGTGAGGATCAATCATGCTTCAACAGCAGTTTAAATCCACCACTGACTGTGAGAGGTAGACGGTCTGAAAGGGGCTTAACTGTAACACAGTGTAGTGATGACAGTGATGTAGCACTGTAGACCTTTCAGTGAGTACTGTAGACATTGGCAGATTATATTACATAGGTGTCTTAAATTGCATTTATTAAAGGAAAATTCTGGTATTTTTGCTAACTAGCTAGCTAACTGCAAAAGGATCTACTCCTGATGCTAACCAAACAGCTGTGTACTATCAGTAACAAAGAAGCTCAGAGTCACAGCTGAAGGCTGAAACAAACCATTGTAGCTGGTTCATATCTCTGTTCATGACCACACCGTGCACACATCATGGAGCATGGAGTCCTGTTGCTATGGACACCACAGAGGAAGCTGCTGCATCACTGAGCTGAAGTTTGACTCTCCAGAACACAACTGGAACATGTTTGATGGACTGATGAGACTGAGGTTGGACTGTGTGAAGAACATCAGCTCTATGTGTGGTGTAAACAGATCTCTGCACACCAACATGAAAACATCCTCCCAGAGGTGAAGCAGGGTGGAGGGAGCGTCATGATCTGGGTCTCTGCTGCCTCTGGACCTGTTTATCAAGGTCTCTTCCAGGATCATGTCAGGGTGTCTGTCCACCTGCTGAAGCTGAGGAGAAGCTGCTGATGCAGCAGGACAATGACCCTGAACATCGGAGTAAATCCACCTTCTGGAGTGGGCCAGTCAGAGCCCAGACCTGAATCCAGTAGAGATGCTGTGGACTGAACTCAGCGAGCCGCTCATACCAGACATCCAGAAAATCTGTCTGACTGAATCAGCTCTACAAGAAGAATGGTCCAAACTTCCTCCTGAACATTGAGCAGCTCTGATCAGCAGCTACTGAAGAGCTGGTTTCAGGTTATTGGAGCCAGAGAAGGTTCATCCATCAATCCATTCATCCATTAGCTATACCGCCTATCCTTATAGGGTCACAGGGGGGCTGGAGCTGAGCCCAGCTGACATCTGGCAAGGGCGGGGTACACCCTGGACAGGACACCAGTCCATCACGGGACTGACATTTAGAGACAAACAACCATTCATGCTCACATTCACACCTATGGGCGCTTTAGAATTGCAGATTTTAACCTTACATTTCATGTGTTTGGACTGTGGGAGGAAGCTGCAGTACCTGGAGGGAACCCACACAGGCACAGGGAGAACATGCACACTCCAGGCCTTGAATCAAACCCAGAACCTTCTTGCTGTGAGGCGACACTCCTAACCACCGCTTAACGAAAGAAGGTTCAACCAGTTATTAAATCCAGGGTTCACTGACTGTTTCCACCAGAGCTGTGAATGTTGTATGAGCTTAGGGACACTGTGTTTGTCTGTATTTGTGACTTAGATGAAGATCACATTTTAAAACCAGTTATTGCAGAAAACCAGGGCATTCCAAAGGGTTCTCTGACTTGTTCTTGCTGCTATTTTTAACACATGACAAAAGTGTCCTGAAAATGTATTGCTTTGTAGAGTTAGAGTTTTCCTGGAATTTCCCTTTAACTGTACCAGAAACTGCATCTGACAAATCCTGTAGACAAAACTAACAGGTGTGTCATGTGTCTTGGTAGATTAATTGGTGCCGCGACGGGACTGGAGGTGGCCAGGGGAGGCGCTCGTGAGTGGGTAGAAGGACAGATGGACAAACAGGCACCAGCAAGTGAGACGAACAGCAAAAACAAAAGTCTTTCAGGGTGCCAAGTTATTTTTCATTGAGAGAGAAAATAACATTGATTAACATTAAAATTCAAACTGACACGGGAAACAAAACACTGACCAAGAAGTAGAAGTCAAGCAGTCATTTCAACAAGGACCAGTTTGATCCTGTTACATAATAATTATGTTTAAGCTCCACTTGTGATTTTATGAAAGCACCAACAGTAACTGTGAACTTCCTCTCAGCTCACTGTTGAGTTTCAGATCAGCTGTGAACCAGAAGGAAACGCTGCTGTTGGTCGCTTTAAAAAAAAAATCAGGAAGTGGTGTGTTTTATGAAAATATGAGGTGCATGCTGGAGCAGAAATATAACCACAATTTTCATAGCTTTATTACTTGACAAATATTTTGTTAAGTTGCATTATTGTAGCAACATTTTTATTTTTCTCATCAATAATATCTTATATTACAAATAGTTTTTGTTTTATTCTGTATTTTATTTACTGCATTAACATGTATTAAATGTGTCTGTGTTTGCCTCCTGGACACATGTCAGGAGGTGTGTACGTACTGTATGATTGTGCTTATTATCATTTGTAAAAGAGTAAAAGTATTTTGCTAATTGCACAAAACCAAAATAAGTCAAAGAAACAGAAATAAACAGAGTGGAGGAAGTATGAGCCAAATCATTTGTTTTCTTTCATGTCATGTAATCTATTTCATAGATAAGTTTTTCATTGTGATCAACATCTCACCTGTGTGGTCTGTAGATAACAGGTGTTATTTTAGTAAAATTTTATTTTCTTCTTCTTAATATGTAGTTGCAAACATAATATAACTTAATAATAAAAACACTGACTGCAGATTCACATTTTAAAACTGATATTTAAATATTTTTCATCCTTGAGAGGCATGCACCCAGACGCCTTATAGGGGTCACATCTTTGGCACCTTTTTCACCCCTGATGAGTCTGCACCCCTGATCTTAGCTGGAGTTATTTTACAACAAAACAACAGAGTAAAAGTCAACGTTAGAGACCTTTCTCTGTCCCTGCTCAGCAGCTTCAGCAGTTTGAGTCAGTAAATATCTGTTTATGTGACATCATCTTATGCCTCTAATGATATTTCCACCAGTTTGTATTATTGAAGTATCTTTTCATTCTGGGAAACAATCATCAGGACTGCATGGTCACACTAGCTTCTAGTGATTGCATCAAGGTATTCATGTGTTTGACCAGCACTTTTACAATGAGGCCAGACCTGGTGCCACTGTGGGCCTACTTTGACTGTTACTAAAAAATACTCAAAAGTATTCAAAAGTACATTTTTCATGTCAACACATTGTTGTATTGTTCCACATTTACAGAACCTGTAACCTGTACTGACTGAAACAACCTACTGACTGACTGTAGAATAAAGAAAGAAAGAACATTTCTTTTTTTGTCAGTGATGAAGTGGTAGTGGTAGTCGTGGTAAACACAGCAAACATTTAAAAAAAAAACTAATCGTTATTTCAAAACCTTAACACAGCCTTCAGATCAGAGCATGGTCTCTGGTGCAGAATCTTCTGCCTCATCTTTATCTAACGTCGCCATCGTTAGGACGCTGACAGGTTCAAACATGACTGACAGTGGAGGAGTTGGCTGTGATTGTTTTTTTTCTCCTGTGATGAACACAGTGTATGGTATATCACATTTTCAAAATAAAATAAAATCCATTCACTGAGTAAAAGCTGCTTCAAAGTAAGAGTACTTATTGGAATGTAGTGGAGTCAACAGTACAATATTAGTCTTTGTGAAGCAGAGTAAAAGTCAGAGGTTTCTAAAAATATAAAACTCAAGTAAAGTGCAGATACTGGAAAATATACTGAAGTACAGTACTAAAGTAAATGTACTTAGTTACTGTCCACACTTGGTAAAAGCACCACACCTGGGAAAGTATGGCCCAGGTTCAGAGAGAAACATCCTTTAAACTGTGTGCAGGATATTACTGTAAGTTTCAGGTCTCTTATCTTGTCATCAGTACTTCAGTCTGGTCTCATTTATGGTTTTCTGCAGCTGCAAACTGCGACGTCATCAATCACCCTGAGGCACATGTGCAATTAACCCTGAAAAGAACACAGTGTACAGCAGACATCAGTGACAGGTTATTGTGCTGGAGCTTGTCCTCTCATTGTATATTTTCTTTATCAGTGTGGCAGTTAGCTAACATTACACAATTCAGGACATAGAAAAACTATCCCAACCTGCTGTAACCTCACACAGGGACGACATGCTGCTGAGGGACAAAGACAAATGATCACAGGGGAAAGAGAAGAAGCAGCAAACAAACAATAGAAAGTCTCTGAGAGTTAAACAGTAAGGGCAGAAGAGTGGAGATGAGTCTCTGAGGTGATGGGCAAGTGCAAGAAACCAGAGAGTTTCTATAGTAGACAAGGATGTGTATTCATTTTTTGTGTATCTGTAAGAAAATGCAGTTTATTTTTGGATTTCACTGAAAACAATCCCACACAAAACCTAACATCCACATGTCAGGAAGATCTAAGTGTAAGACGTAAGCGGAAACACATTTTACTGTCCCCTCACTGTCAGCTAATCTTTAATCATCCTGGTCATGTCGGACTTGGGACTTCATTGTTACTTCATTATATTATCAGTGAGCAGGCCAGTGGCATTCTGTGCCATCTTGAGCTTCTCAGTGACCTCAATACAAGAAAACACAAGTGTAAGAGTTTCAGTACAGACTTATGAGTCAGAGTCTTTGGCAGACACTTTCTCTGGCCTTCAGCACAGAAATGTAAAAATGTGATTATTCCAGTAAAATGTTTATTTTTCCTGCTAGCAGCTGGACAAAGAACAGGAATAAAATTAGTACAAAGGAAAACAGGTAAAGCTACTTCTGTTGTAATTCTAAAGATGTTTATGATTGTTACTGGTTTAGTAACAACCACACACACACACACACACAGACACACACACACCAAGGCTGGACCTTGTCTTGCCACCCCTTAGGCACACCCCTGTATCACAGTGAAAAGTTCTCCAGACCAGAGGATTTCTGAATCCTCAACACCGGTCAAAAGATCAGTCGCAGCTGAGAGACAGGTGAGTCATTTATAGATTATACTGACCTAAATACTGAACTAAATATTGGCTGAATTTGATTTTGCAGTTCATGATGATCAGTTTAAACAACAGTTTCAATAACTTGATATTATAATCTGCTGCCACAGTCAATATGGAGACAGACTGCTGCCAGCTTCGTTTCTGAAAGCTTGTCCAACACTAAATGTGGTTTATACAGTTTGATTGAAGCAGCAGAAACCATGTAGACTGTCTCCAGTGTAGTCATAGGGAATTATAACAGTTAAACTAAACTGAATATCTCTGTCACCCACTGACTCATTTACTCAGTCAGGAAACCAGGAAGCTTCACTGTGGCTGTCCACTTATATTGTTTCTATGTCTCTCTTAAATGAATGGTAGAATAGTTGATGACAAACATCATCAGCTGTGTCATCCTAAACATATGCTTCAGTTTGGCAAAAAACAGGTAAACAGTTTTGTCTCTGAACACAGCCCTAAGCCTCCGGCTCATGTGGTGATGTGTTTAGCTGCTGGTTCTTGTTTCACTATCCCTCTGGGGTTCACTTATTGACATAATCAATTCCCTTACTTAAACTTAATCTAACCTTAACCATCACAACTAGATGCCTCATAACTGGAATAAACCTGTTCTTCCTACTGTGTCTGCGCCCTCCAGCTGGAGATGAAATGGGTAAAAACAGGGTCCAGACTTCCCGCTGTGTCATATCAGCTGTGGCTTGGCAGATGAGTAATTGCTTTACCTGAAAACCCGAATTCTTTTTAACATCAGAGGAAGAAGTCTGTGTTGAATCAGATATGAAGGAATAAAAGGAAGAATTTTATTGTCATCAGGTGTCTGTATGAGTACATGAATTAGACTGCTGTACTGACGTTTGTGGTTGACTCCCCTAAATAATAAAGAAGTTAACCTATGAGCAAACACATTAACAATTAATAATTGCGTTAATAAAAATATTATATTAAAAAAATGTATTCATCTTTTTTTCAGCATCAGACCAACAGAAGCTTCTGGTGAAGCACTCGGTGTGTGTGTGTGTGTGTGAGAGAGAGAGAGAGAGAGAGAGAGAGAGAGAGAGAGAGAGAGAGAAAGAGCGCGCTTTGCGCGTTCACGAATTGTGAAAGACGCGTCCGCGTTTGAATACCGGCTTGAGCCGGTAGGAAGCTGCCAAAACAGGCAGGGAAGAATCCAGTGAAGACAAAAGATCAGATAGAGCGACTTTTCTGAAAGCTGTTTCTTTTGAAACAGGAGTAACAAGTGAAAAAGAAAAGCTAATTTATTTCCGTCGATTATTGCAGCAAACAGACCAACACGTTACAGCTGAGGTGATGACGACATAGAAAAGCAGCAGCAGCTTCTCCTCTCTCTGGTAAGTCTGGTGTGAGCTCGGCGGCTCCAGCTGCAGGATGCAGAGGTGTCTCTGTTGTGAGTGAATCAAGTGATCGTCCTGTTGTGTTACTGCCACACTGATCTACCAGGAGTCAGACAGGCAGATAAATCACCTGCAGAGTGAGTGTGAGTTCAGTGTTTATCCAGGAGCCTGGTTGTGACACAGCAGCAGCAGCTCTGACTGTCCCGCCTCTGTCTCTCTGTCAGTGGGGATGAAACACTGACATCATCCCTCCTCCACTGCACTGCGGACAACCCGTGTTGGCTTGTCTGTGACAGAAAGCCTAGTCAACTATTAACAGTATATAGGCTGTTTGAATCGTGGGGAATTTTAAATACTGTAATATAATATACAGTCTATATGAAAATTACACTTGAATGATAAAAGCTGGTATTGGTGGTGTTGTTGTAGTGTCACACTCCTGAACTGGGTGTACCACAATAAATAATCATCCTAAGTGACTGTTCTCACACTGTGGCTCAGGTATGTAGCTGTTACATCATCACAGCACCTGAGAGACTAAGGGCATGGTGAGTCCTGCAGGATTCATCTATACAGTGACTTGTTGGCACAGACACAAGGCTTTGGTTCCTGATCAGTTATATTTATACTAATACAACTCCAAGCCGTTAAAAACACCCCTTAGGTTTTGGAAGTTTGCTTTAAAAATCTGGATTTGGGTTACTGGACCTGGAGGATCCAGACTGAGGAAAATAGTATGTTTTCCTGGTTGGTGATGAGGAGGAATGAGGAAGTTCAGATGTGTCTCCTGTTGATCAGTTAGGAAACACACAGACTTTGTAACACTGACTGTCTTGAGATAACCCTGTTGACATCATCTGAGTTATACAAGTTCAGGTAGTGAATCTTTAATATCTTTTTACTGTACTTACATGACTTTTAAAATCAGCCAATTAGAATGAAGCAGAGAATTAGAGGTAATAATTGGATGAGTGGTGCATCATGTGTTATGAACTATGATTTTAAGTAAGCAGAGTTTTAGATATAGGGGCTTGTTTGTTTCAGGCCTGATCCACAGTGCTGGTTGCCTGCACCTCCAGCACCCTAACCCCTTTTACACTGGACAGGAAACACATTAACACCTGCTAACATCTAGCTCCTGCTGTCAATGTGAAGGGAACAATCTGCATTCAGTCCCACGTTACATGACTCTGTAGTCAGTAGTCACAGGTATTTATTGACTGTGGTTCTTGTCAGCCGTGATGTAAACATGACACCAGGTGAACTCGCTAATTTTCAGCCCATGTCCGAGCTGTGATGTATTTCAGAGCACAGACACTGTAAATTGAGCTGTGGCCTGTCCAGCACAGAAACACCAGCTACACCTTCCTCTGAGTTTGTTGCGCTCATTTTGGTGTAAAAAGGGTATTAATGAAAAATATTTGGGATATTTGTTGGTTGGTGTTTTGCTTCTTCCTGACACAACAAGATGTGAGCAGTAAATGTGCAGTTACATGAACCATCTCTATTCTGAGTTTCATAGTGTTTTCTATAGTTGTCTGTGGGAAATGACATTAAGGTCAGCTAACAGAGGAGCTACAGGCAGCCTCAGGTGAAGGGGGGGTCATCACGTACACACAGGTGTGTGCGGCCAGGACAGCCTAGTGTTTACAGGCTCACACAACCTGTTGTTTGTGTTTCTGTTATCAGCTCACAGTCTGCAGCCTAAGTCTAGATTCTCCAGGTGAAGTGAAGAGTCTTGTTTAGAGGCAGAGCGGACTTCAGGGAAACCTTGAGATACCTGTGGCAGAAGCTCATCTTGTTTTGGGTAAAATCCTGCTTGTGTTTATGATATTTTAGAGACTTTTCTTCTTTTTCAAAGAGAAAATTCTAGTGAATCCACTAAATACTCAATAAAATACTCAGTTTTATTTGTGCAGGGCCAAATCACAATATACATTATCTCACAGCACTTTTAATTGTTGTGGCAGGCAAATTGTTAAAGACATTAAATAGTCTCTCAACAGAGTCAAAGTCTCTGTCTCAGCTTTCCAAACCCCACATTAGTCAAGCTGCCACAGAGAAGCACATTTGATATTGTTTGAGATTTCTGACCTGAGCCTCAGCCAGTCGTCTGACCACGCCCTCAGCGATAACACATCAGCACTGCCTCACATCCTGCTGCTGTCTTAGTGGTACTACCTGTGTGGGTGGTCCACCTCTCAGCCAATCAGAATCATCAGATCCTCGTGTCATACAGTCATGGCCTTCAGAAGATTTGAGGAAATAATTCTGAGAACTAGTTGATGATGAAAGACAGAATAAGGAAGTTCACAACGGGAACATCAGTCATTCAAATTCAGGAACATCATCAACTGTATCATTTAAAGTGTAACAATGTGTGCTGCCATCACATCCTCCACACCTTCATTTACATGGACTCTGGGTCATTAGAGACGACACGTTTCCTCTCTTCACCTCTGATGTACGTCACAGTCAACAGCACATGCTCATATGTGGAAGAAGAGTTGGTCACTCTGCGCTCTCTGTTTCTGCCACCAGGTGGTGTGTCCTAGTCATGAGGGTGACCAGCTCCAAGCATTGTTTGGGCCCTAACGTTTACCCAGAGGTGCCTGATGGCGGCTGGGGCTGGGCTGTGGCCGTGGCCTTCTTCCTGGTGGAGGTCTGCACCTACGGCACCATCAAGAGCCTGGGCGTCTTCCTCCAGGACCTGATGGAAGAATTTGGGGAGAGCAACAGCCGAGTGTCGTGGGTCATCTCCATTTGTGTCTTCATCTTTACTTTCACTGGTCAGTCACAGGCTTCACTCGTGTTTTTGACTTCGACCTTTTGCTCTTGTAGTATCCCCCTCTGATGTAATGCAGCACAGATGCATGTCCCATTAACAAAGTGTTAGTTCCTTGTAGTGTTTTTATGCACAGTGGTAATCCCACCCAGCCAAGTCATTGCTGAGTCAATGATACTCTTGATTGTGTCCTCAGGTTCTCTGGGCCAAACAAACAGTGTAACAGCACAATTCCATTAGTATCACTGCACACACGCAATTCAAATATACAACATATCACAAATAGATACAGCACTTAAACATGGTGCAGTAGATGTATGTTTTTATGCATTAATGAGACGAACTGTGACTGGTTGAGCTCTTCACTTCATTGGCTGGTTAAACTGAACCACTGTGCAGAAGCTAGATTAACCTAATGACAACAACACTGCTTCCAGCCAAGTGTGCACCCTGAGTTTGCATGTCTGTTCTGTCTTCCACCCCCCACCCTCAGCTCCCCTGTCCACGTTGCTGAGCAACCGCTTTGGCTACCGTCCAGTGGTGATGATGGGAGGCTTCCTCATCAGTCTGGGAACCATCATCTCCGCCTTCACCAGTTCCATCAACGAGATGTACATCACCATCGGCATCATCTCAGGTATCTATCTATCTATCTATCTATCTATCTATCTATCTATCTATCTATCTATCTATCTATCTATCTATCTATCTATCTATCTATCTATCTATCTCAGAATAATTGCTGCTGCAGTTGTGTCTGTCTTGTTTAACAGTGTGTCATGAACTAAAGGGACTCCTAGCAGTGTCAACAACAAAGGCTCAGCAGCCTCTTGCAGTGTGGTCTGCTCCACTGTCTAACTGTACATGTGGAGGGAGGATTGTGAGAACAGAGGAGGAAAAACTAGAGCAGCAAAGCGAAGAAGTGGGTCCTGTGTATGAGAAGCCACCTAGGCTAAAACGGAATACTTGCACATACATACATATTATCATGCACATCCATGCATATTATCATGCATGTACATACATACAGTTATGCATGTACATACATACAGTTAGGTGGACGGCCATGTTTTTTTAATCCTTCACAAATAAGAGAAGGACTCAAATAGGCTGGCATAGTTCTGTGTTTTATTTAAAAGTAGGCATACACATGCCAGTGCTTTTTTCTCCTATTCATAAGAGTTTGGTGTTTTGCTTTGTTATAACAGGTAAAAACAGCAATAAAATGTCAATAGTTTTTTTGCAGTTCTATAATTTCATAAATGCAATAAACTATCGTTCTTTTATAGTATAACTATATATAAAACTTTAACACTGTGTTATCTTCTTTAAGGGTCGAATAGGTTTTGCAGCTTCAGAGGAGCCAAAAATGGCTCTTTTCATAGAAAAGCCCTGGCCTAGGTGGCTTCTCATACCTGTGTTCTGGATTAGTGAGAGAAACACTGCTATGCACTTTAACATGGAACTGATACAACTAATACGCATTTAGCTCAAAATTACACCTGGTAGTTGTGTTAGATCAGATTTTCACTGCACCATCATTGCGGCCAAAAGATAACAATATTATTGTGATGTCTATAGAAATTAAAAAATTCATCTTATTTCACAGCACCCATGTTCCCTATTTGTTTGGGACTGGACTGAGACTAAGAGGGAAACGAAGTCACCAGTCGAGTACGAACTCACCAGACTAAAAAGTGCAGGTGTGAAAACTGAGCAGTGAGGGAACAGGAAGTGGCTCAGGATGAAGGAGTATATAGACTTAATGAAAGTAACAGATGGGATAATGAATAAGTTTCGTATCAGAGCACATTAACTTGTTTTTTCCTCGGACAGAAAGCACTGCTAGCTCTCCCGCTGTGTAACCACCTGTCTCTGAAACGCACCACAGCTAACTGACCCCCCCCTGTCTCTCGTTTTTGTCTTTACATGCCCTTTGTCTTTCAGCAGCAGCTGTAACAAAGCTGAATCATCTCAAGCAGCCTGGAGTGACCTGACAGCTTGATCTTTGACCCACCACCCTATCCATGCAGTGTTCCTACCATCCGGGCCAGTGGCTGTCATGTCCCCTTCTCTTCTCCTCTTTGTTTACAGGCCTTGGCTACTGCCTCACCTTCCTCCCCACCGTCACCATCTTAGCCCAGTACTTCTCCAGACGGCGAGCCCTTGTCACCTCTGTCGCTTCGTCCGGAGAATCCTTTGCTATATTTGCATTTGCTCCAGGTGAGTGTTCAGCCTATGACCTATGACCTTTATCATGACTTAATGCTATCCATTATAAAGTGGAACTATTTTTTAAATGATACCATTAATCACCTGGGAAACAATTGTTTGACACAAACAACTAAGTAGCTTTTTCTGTGGCTTTAAATCACATCTCATGGTCTGCCTCAGTGAATGGAGTTTGCTCAATTATCATGGAGATGGCTCAGTGGTCATTCGTAGCTTTGGTCACATGATAATATGACATCTGCACAGCAATTCAATTTTTTCAATTCAACGGGCTTCATCGGCATGACATTTTCAATCTGTTGCCAAAGCCCGATTACAATCATTCAATGGAATTAAATTATCAAAGAAAAAAACTGTCACTAATATTACTCATATTAAATACGATATAATTATTGATTTAATTAATAGAATAAATTGATGATGAAATTATGAAAAATAGCAATAAAATTATATACACATACATATATACATATGCACATATGCACGCATACATAAATATGTACATACACAAAAGCGGTTATCAAATAAGAAAACAGAAGATAGTGGCGGTAAATACATTTGGTTTCTATATATCTATATATAGCCGTGACAGGAAGTGACAAATTTACCAGCCAACACTGCACAGCATGGCTGTTCCCTTACCAGTACATGTGAAGCTGCAGCAGCAGGAAATGTTGCCTTTACAGTAACTAACAGTTAAACTCTGACACAGCTGTAGGACAGTAACCAGTGAACAGTCTGGACTGGATCACAGGCTGCACTGCTCCTGTAATCCTGCCAATCCCTTGTGCATGTGAAGGCCACTTCAGTCACAACTTGTGATTTGATTTCATAAAAATCTTTTTGAATTATACAATTTAAGGGGACCTTATGCTTTGCTGAGTTTTTCCTTACTTGTAGTGTGTTGTAGGTTTTTGTGCAGGTAAATGGTCTCCAGAGTCCCAAGGATCAAAGTTTACATCAAAGGGAGAAACTGTCAGGGTAAAAACCCAATTTTCTCCTTTGTATGAAAGTGTTCGGGGTCCAGACATTACCTTCTGGTCCTATTGACGTCAATACTTCTCTTGGTGATGAAGAATTTTCATTAGTTGTGTAGCCATGCCGAAATTACAGTGTTCTTAATTTCCGGCAGAAATCTACTTAATTTTTTTCACGGTTCTCCACCGCTCCAAACATTATAGTGTGAGTCAGCACATCAAGGAGGACTGCTTCAGAAACCACGCACAGTTGGAGCTTCATTTTCACAACGGTTCTTTCTGTAATTCACACTTGATGTGGCCAAATAGGGGACTAAGCCTCACAGCCTGTCGGTCTGCATTGTTATTTTGGATGTTAACCGCGTTACAGCGACCCGATCGCGACCTGATCACGTTAGTAAGAAGCAGCATTGCAAAGATATAAATGCTTAAACATTTTTCAGTAAATTGCATGCTGTACCTCATTAGCTCAGATAAATTATCCACAGTTTAACTGCTGAGTTCATTTTTTAGTGACTATGCGCACTAACGTTAAATTCATTCAGATTTACCGGCATCATAAACCAGCAGGAGGTGAAGCGGTGGAGACTCGCTACCTGTCGACCGTCTGTCTGTTCCTCCGTTATTTATTTTCCTTTTGTCTGGAAGTGACACATAAAAAATCAAAAGGGTTTCTTATAAAAAATATGTTATGAATATTGATATCAGAAGGTTGTTTACACAAGACGTGCGGAACGTGTCGTTGCCATGGTAGTTGCTGGCAAGCTGACCAATCAGAGCACACTGTGCTCCAGCCCCAGAGAGAGGAGGGGGGCCTTAAAGAGCCCTGAGCTCTAACAGAGCGTTTCAGACAGGGTGAAGAGAGTACAGTATAAAATGTACAGCAGAAGAATAATAACGTCTTTTAAAGCATGTAAATCTTTTTTAGTCGACACCAAAAATGGAATGAAGGCCATAATAGGTCCTATTTAACCGCACAGTTCAGAGGGATGTTTTCTTTATGACACCAGCAAAAAGTTACACTCTCCCTCATCATGATCATTCAGCCATATGAGAATGGACCTATTTTATCCATTGTATTCATGTAATTCTTAAATTAGAAGAATAAAACATCCAAATCTACATTAGAGATAAACAAGCTGTTGTCAGCTGACCTTGTTAACACTTCCTGGTTGTTTCACAGTACAGGATTTGTGAGCCTTTGTCCAATGAGATTGTTGGAGGGGCTGCGGGGGACAGTAGATCTTCTACCTGCATTTTTGTATGTCTAATTGAATTGGCCAAATACACCCGAGAACATGTCTAGTTCACCAAGGCAACAGTTTAGTAAACACATAAAATATTAGCTGACTCAGCTGAGGTGCTGTGAAAATCAAGAATGCTAACAGTATGGATCAGAACAGGAAGTGATTATTAGAAGAATGGCTGTCATGTTTGAAATTATATTTATAAAAACATTATGTCGCTGAGAATTTGGATGATTACACCTGGTTGTAAACTTTTAAATCTGAGGCCACCTTATGTTTCAATGCACAGTCTGTAACTTCTGCCTCTAGGGGTCTCTCCATCAAAGCAATAACAAAAGACAGTGTTGGGTGACATGATGAAACGTGAGTTGTCTTCTCCCGGTTTGGATCCCTTCAGTGTCAGTCGTTCAGGAAATCAAACAGATCTGGTGATTCTAACCGTTAAAAACACTGAATAAAGCAGTTTGACTTTAAAAATCAGAGATTCAGCGACGTCTCCAGCAGCTGGGAGCTGAGCTGTCTAACATTTCCTCAGCTTGTTTCTCTGATAACTTCAGATCCAGACGTCCGACGACTAAAATCCTTCATCTGGTTCAAATATAGAGCTGAAAACCACCAAGGTGTAAAAAGTGTATGTGGCTTAAAACTAGATAAAAGTCAATGTTGAGCTTCTGTCAGACAAACACACTGACACATGATCATAGAGGATATGATGTCATTGACAGGAGACCAATGACACGTACTGTTACCATGATTAAAATCACAGATTTCTCTGGTTTGAGAATTGATGGAAACATTTGGGATAATGTAAGAACACAACACAACATCATATAGAACACAGGTCTAGATGTTTTTACATGTTTTCATGTGGAAAAGTTACAGATTAGAACTTTAACTACTGCAAGAAACACTGTTGATGAATGAAACAGCCTCACAACAACTATCAGCTGTTTATTTTACTCATCAGCTGCTGTAGTTGTAATGTTACACAGGAATGAATCATCATAACTTCAACAGCAGATATTCAAATACTTTAAATTGTATTCGAAGTATAATTATATTAATCCATACAGACTATACAGAAGAAAAGCCTGATGTTCAGACTTTGTTCTTCAAATCTTTCATTTTCTGACTGTTAGTTATAGCTGTAATTAACAGTCATTTAGTTCGATATCATTTCAGTTATTGTTATAATTAACTGTTGATCAATCTGGCTCATGATAATACTAACATCCATCTCTCCACAGCCCTCACTGCACTGAAACAACACATTGGCTGGAGATACTGTCTGGTTATTCTCGGCACCATTCAGGCTTCTGTGATCGGCTGTGGGCTTCTGCTTCGTCCAATCATCATTGAGCCCCAAATTGTAAAGGAGGACGAAGAACTGGACAAAGACTCTCTCTCGCTGAAGCAGCTGCAGACTGTTTACGAGCTGGAGAATGAACAAACTAGAACCTCCATCAGCTCAGGAGCATCCCGAAGTTCGGAGGACTCAGGCGTCAAATCCCTCTCTGCCTCAAATGTAGACCTGGGGACTGCAGGAGCAGAAACCAAGGCCCTGATAGAGTGTGAGGTGCAGGACAAAGAGGACCAGGAGCCCTGCCCAGTGAAGAAGGATGAGGTGGAACTGGCGGAGACAGAGGCGGGTCCTCTCAAGCCCTCCAGTCCCAAACTCCTGGACTTCTCTGTGCTTAAAGACGCAGCCTTCATCTGGTACTCCCTCTTTGGCCTGTTTGCCACACTGGGCTTCTTTGCTCCGCAGCTCTACATCATCGAGCTGAGCAAGAGCCGGGGCGTTGAGCCTGGCATGGCCTCCTACATGCTCTCTGTGATGGCCGTGGCTGAGATCTTCGGTCGCTTGTCCATCGGGGTGGTGCTGAACAAAGTCCGCTGCAGGAAGACCCTGGTGTTGTTGGGGTGTGTGGTTCTACTGTGCCTGGTTCTGGTGGGCTTCACTATTGTGTGGGAGTTCTGGGGCCTGGTGGTCTGCTGCGCCCTCTATGGCTACTTCTTGGGCACTGTGGGCTCCACACACATCCCCATGCTGGCTGAGGAGGACGTGGTAGGCATCCAGAAGATGGCCTCATCTGTAGGAATGTATGTCTGCATCCAGAGCTTCGCTGGGCTGGCTGGACCCCCACTGGGAGGTAAAAGATCTCTGCTCCCTTTTCTCTTTGACTTCTGTGTGAGGCCAGTACCTGGGAACACACTGCCTGTGTTGTGTGAGCGTGGTGGCTGACGTCGCTGACCTGCTGCGGAGAATCACACGTGTGTGTTCACACCGGCTGCGTCGGGGGGTGTTATGCCACGCTATGAACAAGAGAGAAAAAGGCTCCTTCACATATCAAGCAGCTGTGTGTGTGCGCGCCTGTTGCAAGCATCGGTTATACGCAAGTATAAGTTAAACTGTGAATGGCAAATTAAATAGTATTAATTTAATTCTACAAAAAATAAGTTACTACATTAATGAGAAAACAAGTCAAATATCGCCTTGACATTTGCAAAGACATGAGCAATCAGCGATCGTTGATCACCAATACCATTGTCCATTGGCACAACCCTACATGCAGCTGCTAAAACGCTTAAAAATATATTGATATTTTTCATGTCTGTATCATATGCAGATTCAGCCTAGATATAGAAACTATAGTGTCAGTTTTATGGGATGTTGCTGGTACGATGTCACTATGACATCAACAGGTCTTTTCTCTGGCTGTTTGTGCTTGGGGAGGCGTCACACGTGAAAAATAGAGGAGACTCCGAATCTCTAGAGGCCAGAGACACAGGAGGCAGAAATAAATGACGTTCCACAGCCCAGGCAACCAGTGTGTTTCTGGCGTTATGCATGTGTTCCATAAGGTGTGTGTTCCATGGCCACAATGTGCGTTGACTCTCTGTAGATCCTGACAGCTGTCTCATCTCCCCTTCCAGGTGTGTTGGTGGATGTCACAAAGAACTACGGTGCTGCCTTTTACTCCTGTGCTGTGGGCATGGGGCTCAGTGCCATCTGCCTGGCTCTGGTCGGCCCGGCCAAGTCCGGCATGTGCCAAAGAAACCAAAGAAGAAAAGAGAAAGGGAAGAGCATAGAGGAAGAGGGGAAAACACCTCAGGACAGCGACCAGACGGACTTTTTGGAGGTGGACCTGGCCCCTGAGGACAGTCCTGTTGGACGGACTGTGGCTCAGGACGCCTAACTAATATGAACATGACATCACCTCATAACTAAGGACAAAAACATCAACAAAGGAAATATCCATACACAGTACTTACAAGTCCAGATGCACAGCGAGCAGCTGCAGTGTCACAGCTGCTGCTGGTTCTGAATCTCAGGTGTCACTTTCCCACTTTCTGACAAGCTTGAAGTTCACTCCTTCCCAGGAAGGACGGCGTCTCTCCTCTGAGACCAAAGAGACATCATGAAGAGCACATGGTGTCAACGTCAGCTCTTTAACAACTGTACACAAGCTTCTGTTCCAGTTGTTTCACTTTCACACTTCTCTGTGTGTTATTGGTTTGTGTTCAGTTTGAGTCAGATTACCGCTATCTCAGGAAAAAGGCACTGTTGTCATGGATACTGAAGCATGACTCAGATAAAACAGTCATGATCTGTATCAGAGGCCTCTGTAATATCATGCTTGTTGATTTCTGCTTTATGTTTAGTGTCTTGACTGTTTGTTTTCATGAAAGCCCTGTAACGGCTCTGACTCCTGCTCAACACCTGCATGTTGTTTCTCCACCTGCTGGATGCACATGACCTCACTCCTTCTCAAACCCCATGGCTTTAAGATGTAAAATGAACAGACAATCTGCCTTGATGCTTCTGATGCATGGAAAATGATCTTCACTACAGCTTAAGCAGGACAAGAAAATCTAGTCATGCAGTCTGTACATATGTCTGTGTCCTGTCTGTTGGTCTTACACACATTGATATTTCACATTTAACAATAGCAATACTGCAGCAGTGCTCGCTAAGCTCCAGCTTGGTCTCTGTACCTGGGGCCTGTACTCTGGAGGTAGTGGGATGCAAAGGTGTGAAGGAGACATTTGACAGGAGAGACTCCACATGAATCACCTCCTCCCAGAGCCTCTCCTGCACCCTCAGATCGTCTCCACACCCACCACCAGATAACTTGAAGTTTAGCTCATAAACCTTTCTTTAATCACTGCATCTTTACTTAAACTGTTTATAATGATGATTTGATCACTTTTTATGTAACTTTTTCAGTTTTTTTAATTGAGTGTGAGGCAGCTCACTGCTGCACTGCTGTCATTATGCTTTTTTTTTTTTTAAATAAAGTCTCCAAACTCAGATTTCTTTTTGTGTCTGGTGTGGTGTTTACTGGGCCAATAGGATGCAGGTGTAGTGGAGTCTGTTTGTGTGTGTGTGTGTGTGTGTGTGTGTGTGTGTGTGTGTGTGTGTGTGTGTGTGTGGTGTGGTGCTGACCTGTGTCACTGCTAGCAGCCGGTTTTATGTCAGAAAACAACCTAAAACAACAGAAAACAGCGGCAGAGAGAAACAGACTTACCTGTGGCTTGTCAGTTCCAGGTGAACTAGTTGAGGCCATCGTCTACATATGCGGTCATGTAGGTGAGCTGACAGCATGTTCGGCCAGAGTGACGCGATTTCTTAGTATGCAAATTGTATGCAGACATAAGCTCTCTCAGGCCCAACACCCCTACTGACCACTCCCACCTTCCCAGGACAGAAAATTCAATAAAAAAAAGATAGAAAAAAAAACATTTAAAAAACCAAATAAATAAATGTACACATACCCACAAAAACTACATGAGTTACATGCACCATCACAACAATAAAGACTTAAATCCAGACTTAACATACATGTACACATACGAATACATAAGTAGATATATCCACACTTGTACCATGCAACATATACAGAGACGCCGCAATTAGACAGGCAACCCAGGCAATTGCCTAGGGCTCCGAGCTGAAGGGGGCTCCGAGGGACGGCTGACGTCAACAAAATAATGGAACTGCTTTAGACGCTGCAACGACAACGTATCGGAAATGCCCCGCACAGGGCCCTTTCCGAGTTGTCGCTGGCTAGTTGCTAGTAGGGGTCCCCGACAGCCGGCTGATATCGCTTCCATATCAGCGACACAACTTGAAATCCCGTAGACACTGCAATGACACGTCGGGAATCTCCCTAATGGGGCCCTCTTACAAGCCGGCATAGACGTGCGTCCCGGTCAAACACACACATGAAAAAATGAAGGGAACATATCTCTCTGGGCACACGAAAAGAAAAAAAACAAGGAGAGGATGAAAAGAAAAAACGTGACAGTGGTAAGTAGGAACGTGTAGGCTATGTGTGTTACATTATAAAAAAGTAGTGCTGCCAGCCAGCCTACCACTTTATCCCAAACTCCCAGTCATCCACCAAGCACCAAATAAGCACCAACCTACAGTTTCCTGTTTTCAAAGAAAAGCATGCAACAGGTGCTAAAGAGTGGCAAGCTTCGTGCAAGTTGCAAGAACTTGGAGCAAACAATGCATGACATTGAGGCAGATGATTTAGAATTGGAGATCAATTCTGCTGTCTACACTTTTCCAGACCACGCCTCCACCTGCCCAAATGACATGTTAAACTACATTTACAGTGAAAACCTTCTGGATCTGTACAGTAATCTAAGCATTGCATTGCGTCTCCTCTTGACTCTTCCTGTCTCTGTTGCCTCTGGTGAGAGGAGCTTTTCTGCTTTGAAGTTGATCAAAACCTATTTGAGGTCAACCATGTGCCAGGAGAGGCTCACAGGACTGGCACTGATTTCAATAGAAAGAGATGTTCGGAGGTCCTTAGAAATGGAAATCTGCAAATGAAATGCATTTGCAGAAGCCAAGGCCCGCAAGCAGCAGTTTTAAGAAAAAAAAGGCACTACTATTGGACTGTGGATATAGGACCAAGGTGTCACAGCAAGTTTTAAGTTCTTCCCTTTCCACTTCAAGTCCTTGTTTTTTTTTTTTTTGCTTAGTTGCCGTTTTTATCATTCTGAAAATTTTGCACATTTCAGTTATGTTTGTTTTTCTGTTATTTATATATTGTATGTAAAGTTTGCATTCAGATAGTTATGTTATTTATTATTTATTTTATATGCTAATTGTTTAATAAAAGATTTCTTTACTGATCCGTAGTCCTGGACTTCATTCATCATGATTCTGGGGGGCCCCGTGGTCCCTCTTGCCTAGGGACCCCAGGGGGTCTAGAAACGCCCCTGAACATATACATACGCACGCACCCATAGACACACTTAGTCATGGAACTAAAAGCAGGAGCAGGTTTATTTAAGCATAATGATGCACTGTTCATAACAGTGGCCACATAACATGCAAGTTCTCCCAGCTGTTCATACTGTGCTAATATAAGTGAGAAAACAGCGCTCTCTACTGGCTGAACAGCAGGGTCTTCTTTCTATGATCAATGTATTAATGTATTTTGGTCTGAATAATGTCCAATACATAAATAATGATGGAAAGACATTTACTTTGACTTCAAGAACTAACAAGAATGCAATGATTCTGTTGAAATCCAGTTAATATGTGATAAATATAGAAAATATTATCTAGAATATGATAATGAGCTTTGGCCTCATTCCGTCACAAATTTATCAGCACTGTCATATATAAATGTAGCTGAGCTGAGAGGAGCATCAGCACATACACCCACTTACCTGTTACCTGAACAGTAGTAACCCTTCCTTTATTAGATCTTATCTTAAAAAGCAGACGACTGTCTTCATAGTGCTGAAGATATTGTGAAATGTTTAATCATGGAAATATTGAACAGTGTGTGGATCATTTTTTTTATTTCTCCTCATGTTGTTCTGAGCTGCAGTGATGAAGAAGAGAGTAAAAGCTTCATCACTGTCAGGAATCCTGTCGGATTAAAGAATCTGTGTCAGATGAAATGAAGCTCTAATAGTTGTGATGTGGTTATTTAGTGATAAACTGTTTGTTAAAAGCTCTGTTTGAAAACCAGAGTGGACACATGGAAAAAAACGATTCCACTGATTTATATAAATATCTACTGCTCGTTATTATTGAACACTTTATTGTTAACTCTTTTGTCCCTGTAAGGATCCTATAGGAATGATGACTCAGTTTTTCCAGTGATTTGATTTGTCAGTAGTTTGGCTGTTGACAGGTTCTGATCTGATCCTCTGAAGTTAACCTGCACCGGAGCAGGTAAGGAGTTCAGCATAAGTTACCATGGTGATTTACCTTGCTAATAAGTGAACCACCGTTGTAGGACTGAAAACCCAGAGTATATTCTTTATACGTAAGACTCACTGTGTTCCTGCAGCATGATGTTTTACAGGTGTGTTGTTTATTTGTCTGACAGGTAAGTTTAATATTTGCAAAGTAAAATGTACTAGTTTGTTAATTGTTTGTATTTGCAAACCACACTGTTATTGAATCATAGTGCATTTGTAAAACATGTTTTGTTTGTTCAGCTCCAGTCCTCCTCAGGTGTTCAGGTACTTGTCGGGTGTGAAGCAGCCATGTTTAGAAGAGCACAGAGTTTGTTTTTTTTTAAAAAACAGCTGGATTTATTCAGAGAGTAGAAGGTCAGACAGTATAAGTTAGACTGTACAATGAAAGATCATCTATCTGGAAATACCACGACTGAGAAGAGAAATGTTTGTAAATGACTTAGTATGATGACAACAGCCTGCTTGTGTGGCATCATTGAAAAAGCAAATGGAGACACAGTATAAAACCTTTGTTACACGATTGGACAGTCGAGGCAGAGCGTGGAGAAGAGGCACTAACGATCAGTATATTTGGCAGATTTTTTCCTGATGTGATTACAGACATATTTCTATAAAACACTGGCATTAACAGAATCATCAGTCAGTGAGATCAGGATTATTTTTCAACACAACATAAAACCAAGTGGTGGCTGTGGAGCAGTGCCGCTGCATAGTTTGGACTATGTACGGTGACACTGGTTTCTTCTCACAGGTATTCACAATCTAACATTTTAACAGCAGCGTTTCTCTCAGTCCAAGTGTTTGATCCAAACTGTCACAGTCACAACACTGATGTCCGATTCACACAGGATGCAGTGGACACAACACAAGTCAAAGCTCTTGGAGCAGTAACCAAACAAGGCCTCCAGATTAAAAAGAGGTCTTTCCTCCTCACAGATCAGAAAAGCTGATCCCTACCGGATCCCAGGGTGTAACAGCACCTGACACCAGCAGCTTAGGATCTACTCACTAATCCATGTGTGAGGCCTGAAGGTAGATGCTGAACATGTGACTGCACTGGATGGACCGACAGAGAACTAAGGTGACAGAGACAGACTCGTCAGTTTTAAGGCAGACAATTAGTTTGGTGTGGACACTGGGCTTCAGTGCGCTGCAAACAAAGTGCCTCAGATTATGTGACAGTGTTTGAAACATCGGCTGCATCCAACACAATCTGCAACTTTCTGAAAGAGACAATTAGGTCTTTATACAGCGGTTAGTTAATTGTGTGGAGGAGTAGGAGAGTTTCAGCTTTTCTCTCAAGCTCGTTGCTCCATTCTTCCCATGACTACTTGTCACCATAAATGAGACTGTCCCACGTTTTTGAGACTACAAAGATGCACAGAAGGCATAGAGTTCTTGGAGACAGATGGAGAAGGAAGTGTGCTGCAGTCTTTTCAGGCTGCCTCACATCTCTTACTTTCAGACATAGCTGAATTTGTTTAAAGCAAAATGTGCCCTTTAATGGGTTCAACACACCTAGTTACAGCAGAGCCATGGTCCACCTCAGCAAGAGAAGGAAGGAATTCTGAGAATCTGACTTCAATGTATGAATGTGTGAAAAAAATATCTATACTTCGACAGCTTGTCAAGAGTTTTCAAATACATCTCATGGTCTTGTGTCACTCTGCACTCATGAGCCGGTCTCTGTCCCATCATGGTCTTTAGTGTTGGGCCTGAATGGCACCCTGACCTAAGACCACAACGAGAACTGAAAACTCTGCAATGCCGTCACACAAACCTTTGTGTTTAGAATAATGTTCCAGAAAGCTTTACATTAAATTGTGTTTTTATCCTGAAATATGGTTTTAAATTTTAAAATGTACTTCGAACATCAAATTCAGTTTTTCTTCTGAATTGCTTTCGTCTTTATTCCTCCATAGAGTCCAGATCTTCACGTGAATCATCAGATGTAGGAAGATGGATGAAAACCTAAGTGCTGTCAGACTGTGGAGAAACGTGACTTCACAGAGGCTCCTTTAAAGAGCTGAGACAGAGTCACAGCATGTGGGACATCATCGCTCAGCCATCTGCTCATCACTATACTGTCTGTGCTCCAGTCATCAAAACCAAGTTTGTTCAGCATTGACAGAGGCTGTATCAGGGTACAAGCCTGTTCTCCTATGACTTCATGGTGTGTGTGTAACTACAGGCTTTCTTCTGGCCTAAAGTGATGACATGACACAACGATCCAGACAAAGAGGCCTCTGCTGGGTTTTAGATTGGCTGTCCAAGCGGCAGCAGACAGGACAGTGTTTGTGTCTCTCTCTCTCTCACACACACACACTCACTCACACACACACACTCACACTCTCTCACACACACACACTCACACTCTCTCACACACACACTCACACTCTCTCACACACACACACTCACACTCTCTCACACACACACACACACACACACACACACACACACACACACACACACACACACACACACACACACACACACACACAGGCAGCTTTATATCGGTGCACGGACTGACAGAAGGAGAATGGTTGTGACTGGTGCTGCAAAGCTTGAGGAATTCACTGAGATTTTGTCTCCAGTCCTGTCAGTCAACTGCCTCTCTTAGAGCTGGGAACACACACACCAAAATCAGCCAAATAACTTCACTGCTCCATGCTAGCACACATTTGAGTGACAGCAGGGTCCTGGTTGGTCTGGGGACCTGATTTGTCTCTCAAGATGTTTCCTCTCAATGTGATTGCGGAATCATTTACTCAATGATAAATCAAACTGGTTCATCATGAAAATGTGAGGACAAAAGAGGAACATGAAGCTGAAATGCGTGACCCAAAGAAGAGACAACTGGTCATGTGACTGACGTCAGTGTACTGAGCTGTTTCAGAAGCAGCTGATGATGAAGTTATATTTTGAACAGGTCTGACACAGGCTGGATTAGCTAACAGTAAGAAAAAAGATTAGCATGTTTTAGTCCACTCACTAGATCCTGTTTGGTTCCATTAATTTTCACACATTATGAAACTCCACTAACAGACATTTGAACTGTGTAATCCATCACAGTGACGGTGGTGTCAGTGTGAACAGAGATAGATGGGCACCACTGGCCGTTTGTATGCTTACCGAGCTAAAAACTGCAGCTACACTGGTTTGCTTTTTTAAGGTTCTAAATCCATTTTTTTTGAGTAATTTAACGGGAGATCAGGGTCTTATGTACAGTCTCTGGCGGCCATCTTGAACTCAAAGAACCAGAATTATAGTCTAACTCTTGTTTAGAGGTGTAATTTTAACAATTAAGAGCAGCTGACAGGAGTTGGGTCGATACTAACCCCCTTAAAAAAAAAAAAAAACATGAGCAAAAAACTTCATTCAAATTTCTGCTGCTCACAAGTCTGGTTTTGGCTCATGTCCCTTCAGAGCCTCTGTAGTTGTTGTGTCACCTGTACAGACTGAAACACATCCACTGTAGACAAGGGTCTGTGGTTGTGGGGTAACTGGAGCATATTAAAGCTAAAACAGGGTGTTACTCACTCTCTTCAGTGGTTAGCTGCCATTAGTATTTAAAACAATAACTATAAAGAGTAAAAAAAACAATGGAGCTCTGCTGATTCTGAGGAGTCTGTGACACTGAACACAATCAAACCTGCTCTGTCAGTCAAACTTCATTACATCTGTAACATGTTTATCATCTTCAACATGTGTTGAAGAGTTAGCATGGAGCCAGTTCACTGGAGGACTTTGGTGTTCACGTTCTCAACACATCAGGAAGCTGATTAATGCGACAGTCTCCTAAACCACCTTAAGACAAACCACCAGACGCCCGCTTCTCTTTTAAATAAACACCATCTGACAATGAAAGTAAAAATCTAATAAAAATAACACTTGCGGTCATACATACACATCTGTGTGCAGGGTTACATCAGCTGTTAGAGACAAGAGTGAGGTTGGTGTAAGAGATACATGATGATGAATTAGACATTAGGAAAAGGAGTTAAGGACAATGTGACCTATACGTGACCTGTACACAACAGTGAGAGCAGCCAGCAGACACCAACTGCTGAGGATCGTTAGTAATATACAGACTGGCTTTATCCCTTTTCTTTTAAGTTAGGATGTATGGGACAGGTGGACATGAACAGGTACCTTCTGAGAGCAGAGGACAGATTGAGCAACCTCCTCACTTGTATAATACACAGCACTAAAGGTGGAGAGCGAAAATGTTCAGGCTTGGACTTGTTGGGGCTTCACTATAAATTTGGCCATTTTCAACCTGAACCACATCATCCATCATCAGCCCGTTGTTAACAATTCACTGCAGCATTAAAGTGATAGTTGGGGTTATTTGCCGTTGGGTTGTGTGAGGTAGTCACACATAGTCAGTGTGTTACCTGCAGTAGATTCAGATCAGCGTGCTGCCAGTTACGAGAGGTGGCAGGGAACACGGTATCGTAACAGAGCGATGTGCGGCTATGGGTGGGGCCAGCAGAAAAAACTTCTTGTTGTTGTTCTAAACACTTTTTAAAATACCCACGAAAACAATCCAATATCCGTTTAAATTTAGCTTTATGTAGAATATTTTCAGCGCTTTACCTTCCTCTGAAAACAGCACTTTCCTTCGGCACTACATTTTTTCAATTGCTGAACTACTGTATTCCTACACACAAGTATCTACAGTGCACACTGTGTTATGCTGCAGCCACAGGTGAGCTGAGTGAATCAGAAAGAGCTAATCTTCACTTTGTTTTGATGGGAAGATAAAACACTGAAAATATTCTATATGAAGTGTACGTTTAAATGGATATTGGATTTTTTTTGGTTGCCGTCTTTTAAAAGTCTCTAAAACGCGTTTTTTTCTGCTGGCCCCGCCCACAGCAGCACATCACTCAGCTCCCTGCTGCTTCTCTTAACTGGCAGTGTGCTGATCTGAATCTAGTGCAGGTAACACACAGACTATGCATGACTACTTCATACAACTCCACATCAAATAACCCAAACTATCTCTTTAATCGCCACAGCATCACTACGGTTCCAATATTCAAACTAAATGATCCTTCTGACACACATCTGACATCACTGTGTGACAATCATATTTTTACAGTGATAGATTCAACAGTTTGACGTGTTGCTTGCCTCAGTGCTGCTCTGCACTACAGCTGACACACGGGACATCTGCTCGGTTTCACTTCACTATGACCACACCGCTTACTATTCATTCATACCATTGACAGACAAGCAGCTGCTGCCAAAGCATTCAGGTTCATGTTTATGTTCTCATTACAGATGATTGTGGGGTTGATGTGTGTGTGTCCACCAGCCAGACTGTAAAACAGAGCAGCAGTAGCAAGGCAAGCAGGATAGAAATGGAAGCACACCACAGACACAGTGACCCTGATATTACCATGTGATTTGTATCTGAATATGGACAAACTAATTAACCCAGTTGGAAATGCAGATAGAGAACATGCTACCAGATGTGCTGGCCATATCTGGATACGGTCCAGGATGTTTGTTTTGGGCTCCTAGATGCTCTGACCCAGCAGGTCTTTGGTTCCAAGTTATGTGGATGCTGCGTGTTCTAGATTCAATTAGGACTGCAAATTATTCAATTTACTAAAGTGTAAGTCAAGGAAACAACCAATTCCCACATCTGAAAAAACATCATATTTGTATTTCTGCTTGAAAAAAATTACTCAAAAGAATTGAGATAACAACATAACTTATTAATAGCAAGTGTAAATGCAAAGGTGTGTGGGTCAGATGACATCATACAGCTACATACAAATCACAAGTTAATACCAGGAGAAAATGTGGTCATGAAGACCCTGAGGGTAAAATGTGCTCCAGGTTGAAGACAGCCAGAGCTCTGCTTTAGTTCTGATGACACACAGAGAGAAAAGACCCACTATCATCTGTCATGTGACTTGTTGAAGGGCAGAGGCAACAGGTCAGAGAAGTGGTTCACAATGTGCCCTGAGAAAAAGCAAAATACGACATGTCGCTTTCAGCCCTGCACTCGCCTGGTCGCACAGTCTTTTATTTTACAAGTGGTCTATTTGTTTGTGTGCTTCCTCACCAGCCACACCCCCAAACACCTGGCAACAGTCGCTGAGCTCCTGATCTCGCTGGCGCCTGCAGGTGGCTTTCACAGCTAGTCAGTTAAACCAATTTAAAACAAGCCCCTCCTCCTCCCCATCCCTATCAATAGTGGTCAGAGCAGCATAGAGAAAAGGACAGTGTGTGAATGTGAAGAGCAACACATAGGGAAGATACACAATAAAGGATGTCGAGGGGGGCACCACAGAATGTGGATGGGGGGCAGAGAGTGGGGGTTGGGGTCATTTACAGTGGTCTGAAGGGGTGGGGGCTCTGAGCCACAGGCAGCTATTATAAGTCACAGTGAACAAGCTCATTAAGGCAGAGAGCAAGCGTGGGGGGGGGGCTGGTAGTAGTGCTGGCTTTAATACACAGTCAAAGTTCAAAAGTGTCACTGCCTGCTCCCCTGACGGGCTGGCGGTGGCGGGGAGGGTAAGGAAAAAGGCACCTTGACAGCCACTTTCCATCTGCCTCCACCCATCCCTCCTCCTCCTCCTCTCCAGCCAGTCCCCTCACTGCAGCATCAGCTGCTTGAGGTTGTCGTGGAGGATGGTGTCCTTGACGTCGCGGAACACCAGCCGGATATTCTCAGTGTTGATGGCCGTGGTGAAGTGGTGGTACAGCGGTTTCTGCTGCTGCTCACGGCGCTTTTTGCGAAAGCACTCCACCAGGAAGCGCTGGACGTCCGCCAGGCTTGTGGGGTCGCCCGAGAACTCGGGGAAGTAGTCTTTGATGGACACCTGCTTCACCTTCTCCTCCAGCAGGTCCGTCTTGTTCAGGAACAGGATAATGGAGACGTTGCTGAAGACCCGGTTGTTGACGATGGTCTCAAAGATGTTGAGGGACTCACTAAGCCGGTTGGTCTGCCGGTCCTCCATCAGCACCTGGAGGAGGTAGAATACAGACGTGTGCTGGGGTCAAACGTCATTATGACAATCTCTGTCTGGTATGGCTTTCAAATGCAGTGGAAACACAAACAGCAACACAAGGCAGGGACATAGAGAAATGGACTGTAGCCTTTGTCCCGTGGTGAAGTTCCGCTCAAAACAAAAAAAGTTCTAATGGCAGCCATGAAACCATGGAAACAGTCGAATTTTAATGCTGTAAAATCTCTTTCACTGCTGCAAATACCTCAAATTTTTCTTTAAGTAAAGAAACCTTTCAAGAAATTATGTGCATCACCCTTAAGTCCCTCAGCTAAGGAAAAATTAAACATTAAGTGTCATACTAAGTAGAAAACTTAGTATGACACACTGATTTGTGCAACTGACCCCTGGTCTGTTTGAGTGGAATACCCTGTCAACTCAGCCACCTTCAGGAGTTCAATGTCCAGTGTTTGTGTGTCCTCACTGTGTTGCTTCCAGATGACTCACCTGGTCGTATTCAGAGGAGGAGACAAGGAAGAGGATGGAAGTGACAGAGTCGAAGCATTCGAACCAGCGCCGCCTCTCAGAGCGCTGACCACCCACATCCACCATCTTAAAGGGCACATTCTTAATCTCAAAGTCATACTCGTGGATGCCCTTAGTCGGTTTTCTGGCCAGGAGGATGTCCTGTTGGCTGGGGAGGTAGTCCTGCAAGCGAGTTATTACATTTATAGACACAATTTTATAGTTTATATCAAAACTTACATATCCAATATCAGTGTTGAAGCTGTGTTGATTCATTTGAAAGTCTTTCATTTCAGCAGCATTTCAAGTCAGCAGCTCAGTGTTTGCTCCAATTGTACAACAAAAACTGGCGTGGCACTACATATATAAGAAGATGGTCACTGAGTCTGACGCTGTGTATCAGATCAGTTCATTTAGAGAAAAACAGATTTATTTTGGCCTTTTAGTTCTGGTCCATTTCATGTTCACACTGACTTCCTGCAAAAACATGAGGTGTAATCAGGAAAACACACACACCAACAGGTGAGTCGTTCAGTGGATGGTTTTGGTGAAGTGTGCAAAAAATTCATTATGAGAATTATTAGTCCCAACTGTGGCTGGAGCTAATGAATCATAACAGGAGCAGCTGGAAAAAGGATCTTAATCTTAATATGTTAACATTATGGGAGCTGAGTTACTGTTTCACTCACATTATAATGCAGGACTGCATAAAACCCCTTCACACTTCCCGGTGTATGAGGGAAAATCCCTGCATGCTCGTGTTGATGCAGATTGTATTACCATGGCTACCAGATGATCTCGATTTATATACTTACGTCACTTGTTCAGATCACTGAACCAAATTCTATTTTTTAATTCTTAATTGTGTAAGTTGATGTCACTGATACATTTCTTGTTATTTAGACATCTTGACACAAATTTTGGACCTAACCCTCACTCCAACCTAGACACAAGTATTTGGTATTACTACTATCATTGATCATACTATGTATCTCTATACATCTTCATATTTACAGACATATCTAGACTTTCAAATACACACACACACACACATAAATAAAACACATAAACAAGAGAAAACAAACTAATAGTTATTATAAAAATAGTACAAAGAAATTCTGTGGTTGATCTGGTTTCCTTTCACAACACAAACCACTTAGTCTGGTTGTGACAACCAACAGCATTCACACCAACTTCAACAAACCAAACTGAACGTGTCAGGGTTTGTCTGAACTACAAGAGAAAAGTTAGGTGTGAAAGCACTTAGCTCGGCCTGGGGAAACTGTCTACAATACAAGAGCTGGCGTTTCTCACTTGTTCTAATACAGGTTTAACAACATCTGTTCCTTTAGATTCTATGGTGCCAGAAAGTTTTTATCAGGTTTCAGGCACAGTCCATCCAAGTCATTAAAGAGTTTGTAAGAAAGGACTTAACCAGATCCCTGAAGCGGACTTGTAGCAGAGATTCACTGACTACTTCTTCTGTTCAGAATAATTTCCTCATTTCTTAGAAGGGGCACTGATTGACCAAGAGGAAACTGGGTGGGGGATAATGCTGAGTGAACAGGGAAACTTTTGCTTAGCGCCCATATCTTGTCATTGACTTTTAGTCACTTGTTTAGGGCCTTTAGAATGTCACATGACCACATCTTCAACTGTTTCTAAATGGCTCAGTGAAGCTATTCGCAGTCTTTAACATGTCATTTCCTGTCTCTAATTCAGGATGAATTGTTTTATACATCTGGGACTTTTGGCCCTAAATTTGTAAAACCAAAAAGTCAAATAAATGTTTAGTTGTTACCAGTGTTAGAACAGAATAATACTCACAACTATAATCTGAGTATTTGATTCAGCCTGTTGGTGGGCACTGTGAGTCAGCTGTGTTGGCAGCTACATGGAGAAATAGTGCATGCACACTGGAAAAACCCAATGTGGAGACATGACTGGGGACAGGAAGGCAACAGTTTCACTTCTCTTTTCAACAGACTAGCTAAGTGCTATCACACCCATCTTCCGCACGCACCCTGCCTGCTGGGGGTCTATGATTCGTGGAGCCTTTGCAGAGTGGGCAGGACTTACCGACTGTCCAAGCTTTTCCAAATTGTCCAGGAAATACTTAACCGACTCCCCCTGAGAGAAAGAGAAGAGAGATAGTCATTTCGTCAGACAAACTTTGAGCTGAATCTCCACTGTAATATGTCACATGACTCAAACCCGAAAATTAGGCAGGGGTGGTACTCTCGTGCTCTGATCCTCTCCTCCACCGCCACCTTCCACTTGTGGCTGAGAACTACGCCTACTCTCAGTCCTGACACATTAACTGTATCGTCAGTAACATGAATTAACTCTTTTTTTTTTTTTTTTTTTACCATATTAGAAGAACTAATGATGTCTGCACTCTGCACTGTTTCACGTGTCCTCGCGAATCTCCTCTCTTTTTAAAATAAGACATTTATGCAAAAAAAAACAACAAAAAAACAAAAAACCCCATAAACGATGGGATTTAATTTACGGAGACTTTTCAAGAAGCTGGGTGTGCTTGAACGTAAAAGAGATAATATTCATCTGTAGGGTTGCCACCATTTATGTGAAAAAGGGTGGCAACTATTCACCTGTTTGAAGAGCGGCAAAATCAGGTCGGCTCCTCCCTCCGCAGGCAGACAATCCAGCACGTTCGTATTCTTCTTCCTTGGTAATTTCGGATAGCTCTGCCTGATGCACGGATTATGATACAGCGGATTATGGTACAGCTGCAGTTGCAGTTACAAACGTCAAATTCACCAAGTGCCGAGAAAACAAGTAGGCCTACTAGAATTTTATTGGGAAGCAGAGGCAGCACGAAATTTGACAGAGGCGGCCGCCTCGCAATTCTCTATGCAGGAAAAACCATGAGTCCCTTATACATCAATATGGAAGTGGGTCACATTAACATCACTTTTTCATGATAGCACCCACTCACCACCACAGAGTGAGAAAACAAACAGCAGTAACATTACACTAAACCAAGCCTGACGGCAGGTAGATCTGGTCCTGGTTTAAAGCTACATGCAGCCCCAATCAGATCTGCTGCTCTACAGAAACCTGACTTCCAAAAAGAATAAAAGAAAGGCAACATCATATTAATAATCTCCTGACTTCCCAGCAGTCCTCACTCACTCTGACATCTTTCTCAGTTGGTCTGCTGTCAATAAAGTTTATTTCATTCTTGTCTTCTCTATGCAGTAACATATTGACATTCTAGCCAACACTGCTGCACATTCCCGGGTCATGCTTCCTCCCATACTGCTCCGACATCTGAGCCAGGAGGTGGGTCAGGCTTTAATATTCACAACCAATGGAAATTTACTATGGCTGGATTGAAAAAAATGTCTCTGATTCAAATTCATCTTCATTTCAATATTCCGATATTGATTCCTAAAATCCAGAGATCGATCTTTTAATATATGTCTTTTACAGTCTCCTGTGGATGTGTGAAGCTGTAACCATGTTAGTCTCACGTGACCACCCTTCTCCTGCATCTTGTCACATGATCATAGGTGTAGTGCTGCTGGAGCAAACTGGAATGACACCCCATTACATTTTTTCTCAAAGTGATTAAATAAAATCTGGTTGAAATGTATGAACATTTTTAAGCAATTTAAGCGAAAAGCAAATCCAAATGCAAGATGTGCAAGAAGCCATGTTTACCTGTTCATACATTCTGTCTAAACTGTGTGTTTAAACTGTTGGTCATGCACTAATTGACACAAACCATGAGATGACTTTCTCTCATGCTTGAGCCAATTTGATCTATCACAGGTCTGCAGCCCTCCTACTCACAAAGCTGGCTAACAGTTGGATGTAATCCCGAGGAAATGCAAGACAGACCAGCCTCTTAGTTACCTCATTACATGAGCTTCTATTACTGTGTCCCTGCTCAGTTTCCAATCTATTGCAGTCTTGTCACTAACGGTAAATGATGCTAGAGATACACTCCGCTCCACCTCTGCCTTACTATCACAAAATCAGCTCTGCTACAGACACTTGGAAATTATTTTCGAATTTCAAAAGCCTCCTCCACCAGCCACGTCTCCCAGCTGATGACTTCATGGCCTTCATCGTTCTTTACTGTTAGACAAGATCCATTAGCAGACAACTCGCAGAATTCAATAAACCGCAATAAATGTCCTCTGATTAAGTGTGTCTCACTTACTGCATTTCTCACTCTCACTGAGGAAGACATCTCCAAACTTCGTCCCACCACTTGTCCTCTGGATCCTAATCCGTCCAAACTCTTTCACCCACATTCATTCATGCAGGGTTTTTCCTGCATACAGAATTGCGAAGCGGCCACCTCCATCAAATTTTGTGCCGCCTCCACCACCCGATAAAATTCTAGTAGGCCTACTTTTTTTCTCGGTACTCGGTGGATTTGGGTTTGTAACTGCAATTGCGGCTGTACGTCACTACGGCAATGTAGTGGCGTTCTATGTTTCTGCCTGCGGAAGGAGGCGGCGACCTGATTTTGCAGCTCTTCAAACAGGTGAATATTATCTCTTTAGTAGTAGTAGTAGTAGTCTCTCAGTAGGTAGTAGTGAGAGAGGGGTCAAGGCGAGAGTACCAAGTCTTTAGGAGTATATTAACAAGTGTATTAAAGCCGACATTTACATGATTTTAACATCACTTTTTATTCATCTTCCAAAATGTTCTCAAAAGCAAAGAGTGAGTGGCTTTGACCTGCAGTGGCTGGAGAGATAATGATAAATATATATAAAAGAAAATACACATTGAATCTAGGGCTGGGACGATTATCCGACGTAATCGACGTTGTCGATTATAAAAAATTATTCGACATGGAATTTTAGTGTTGACGCGTCGTGTAAAACCACACAGGGTAAATGTTCATAGAACAAAACTGGAACTTTCTAATGGGGCCGTTTATATCCATCATCTTTGGTTTACCCGGATACAAGCGCAGCGCAAGGGCTGGGACAACGCGGTGACCTAATTGAGGTCAAAGTTTGGGAATACTTTAATCTTGACACCAACAGTGTGGTAGTCTGCAGACTCTGCAAAGTGCATCTGGCATATCACTCTAGCACGACAGTCATGCACGAGCACATAAAGAGCTCATGGTGGTGTTTAAGAAATGTTTTAATAAATATTGAATGTTAAAAATGTTTTTTTTTGTGTGTGTGTGTGTGTTGGACGGGGCAAATTGTTATATTAAATGACTAACTGGAAAATAATTGCAATAAAATTACTGTTAGGTTAATAAAAAAAATAGTCGTTAGATTAGTCGAATAATCTAAAAAATAATCGCTAGATTAATCGTTTAAAGAATAATCGTTTGGGACAGCCCTAATTGAATCCCCCAGAGCACGACATCAAAAATCTCCTCCTCTTCCCCCTCCTCCTCTCTCAGCTGATTAATAATCAGAAACAACAGGTTTAAAAAATGGAAACTTGCAGTCAAATTTAAAGACCTCAACAAAGTAAACAGTCCAGGCTGACCTAAGTCCTAAGCAGTGGACAGCTCGGATCCTGGTTTTTATTCGGGCATAACAACATGTGGACCTGCTGTGGGGTTAGTCTAGTGCGCAGTCTGTTACCTGTGAGCCCCACGCAAATGGTTCTGACATCCTAGGATATTTTAACTGTTAAACTATTAAATCTGTTAAAATTAACGGTTAAACTGTTAATTCTGAACAACACTAATGACTACCCTAATGTGAATGCATGCTGGCAGATGCTAACAGTTGTGTCGGGGAGGAAACCATGGTGACTTCGGTGACATCAAATGGATTCCTTCTACAGACTATACTAATATGACTTGTTTTAATTCAAAGGGAAATCAGTAGGTGAATTGGCAGGCTGGCAGAAAGCTTAGAAACTACAACATCATAATGATAATACATGTAACAGCAGAGTAACATTAGAAAAGACTGACACACACACTGCTCTTTGAACCTGATAATTAGCTGCTCCAAACAGATGAAGGGTGAGCCAATCTCTGCAGGACACTTACAGATCATTTTCCTGTAAGTGAGACACTGTAAGACCACAAGTTCAGCTTGTGGAGAGCAGAGGGAGACTGGGAGGAAGGAAGGGCGTGGGGAGGCAGAGGGACAGAGAGAAGCAACCCCTCATTAGCTGATCTGTGTCCATCTGTGTGCACTCAGCAGCTGCAGCTCAGCTCAGTCCACTGTGAGAAGGAGCCTTTATCTTCTACTGTCAATGTTCATCTGTCCACTCACAGCTCCCTCAACCTACTCCACAGTGATCACTGGACTTCCCACAGTCTCGGGCAAACAGTAAGTCTCATGGATGTCAAACTGTGCAACACAGGGCAAACACTAAGCACAGGGGTTGAGGGGGAAACTTGATACATGAGTCAAAGATCTGGTTAAACTAGATCTGGGTGATTAATCAAATTTTATTTTGAATTACGTTTTTGACTCATCGAGAACAAGATAATCGAGATAAAATGCTTATTGTGTCACATTCTGTTTCGCAACTTATTTCATCCACGTACACAGTAACGTACGTACGAGTGCGTCATCTTGAACAGTTTGCCAATTCAGAGACTTTCTATATATAGTCAGACGCTCAGATAACTTTAACTTATATTGTGTCTAACCAGAAAAATTAAATAACCACAATGCTTTTTGTTTTGAAATCTGTTTCTTTATTTTATGTTTTTTCTTATTTGGTAGTGCTTGATATTGGCTTCACTATCAACAAGGTGCTGCCAGGGTTGATGTATTGTAGTTGATCTTATTTATTTTGATCCAATTTATTTCTATGGATTTTTATATTATATATTTAATTGTATATATTTAGATATTATATAATATTTATTAAATAAATAATAATAATCAATTTTTTAAATTTATTCTTTTATTTGTTTTTCCATTGAATTGTATTTAAAGTTGAAGAAAGTCCACTGTTAAAAAGAAAAAGTTTTTTTTAAAGTTCAATAAACGTGTGCTCTTTCCACAGTCAATGAGAAATCGTGTTTAACAATTTTGATCTCGATATTGATCAAAATAATTGTGATTATGATTTTTGCCATAATCGAGCAGCCCTAGGTTCAACTGATCCAAAATTTGTCCTCTTCCTTGGACACCACAGATTCACCTCTGATCCTGTGTACAGTGTCAAAGATTGTACCAGATACACAAGGATAACCAAATAAGGATGTTTGGTCTGGAATTTGGACATGGAACACCATAACTCACCAGCTGGAACTCCCTGCGGCGGTCATAGGCGTTCTGGATGCCCTGGTCGGCCCACAGGGCGCAGATGGATGGCAGGTAGTGCTGAAAAACTTTGGCCTCCACCATGCCGTGACCATGCGCCATCGCTGACCGGGTGTCAAATGCCATCATGGTGTCTCCGTGCCGCTGATTGGAAAGGTTGCCCCATGGGATGTGTAGTTTCTCACGAGCATCCACCAACACTCGGATACCTGAAGGGGAGAAACACACATCAGGATTTTGTTCTTGTTCTAGATTATCCATTACAGCCTACATTGCATCCTAGACGTGGATTCGAAATTCTGTCTTTAACTCTGTTGATTCAGTGGTGTCCTGACAGTGGTGGATTTACATGAGAGTAGGGGTGGGCTATATGGCCAAGAGATCAATCTTTATAGGTAGAATCATCAAGTTTGATCACGTGGTCACTCAACCTAAAGGCCCAACTCACAAATCTCTGCATCCTGTTTCTGCTCTGATTTTATTCTGAAGGTCTTGACCGGAAATTGTGATTCCTTTCTTTCCGCCGCTTTGACGCTTCTTTCAGATGTCTGTCCCCTCGAACTGTTCTCTACCCACAATGCTGTCTTCTCTTTACAAACTGTGTCACAACCAATCACACTTGTGGCTTAGTTAACATGGAGTATTTGTTTGGACAGAAACATTATGTATTCATAAGGTGCTATATAAAAGTATTCTAATGTGAAAGTTCAGTTGTTAACTGCCTGCAGCATGTCTGTCATCCCCAAGAGAGAGGAAATGACCAGCTATCGACACAATTCTAGCGCATCAATGGGCATCAGCATCACATACACAGTTAAAACCATGCACAGAGGCCCACCATACATGCTCCAAACCAAAGGCTAAAGCTGCTTATTACAGGATTACTCCAGTGTTTCTCAATCTTCTCTGACCCCTGACCCAACACTGAGGTTTCCAAACAATAGAGCTCAACTGTCATGTAACAGCTCATGTAACGAGAGATTTAAAAACAGAATACAGAAAATTAATACATACACAAACAGTGAGTAAATTAATGAACAAACAAATTCATATTTTAAATAAACAAATAGATCACAACACTTACAACAGTGCAAATCAGCAACACAGAGTATTGTGAACATTCATTGTATGTGGTGGTTATAGAGACACTGATGAATGTAAAACAAAGCAGCAGTTGCTAAAAGGCCAAGTACAAATATCACAGCCAATCAAATTCAGTCAGAATAAAAACAATGGTGACGACTGCACAAACACCAGTGTTTCAGCTATATTCACCACCTACTGCTAGATTATGAGCGCTGCCGGCGCTAAAATGTCCCTCAATCATTAATATCAACAGGCTATTAATGATTTTCACTCACACACTGTGTGAGCACAACAACAACCAACGTTATATTAGAATAGGGCAGTGTGTAACAAGCACGCGGCAGAAAAGTGACAGTGAAGTGGTGAATGTGAGTGAAGCAGAGGAAAGGGTTAGCAGTGAGTTGTCAATTGTTGGTGGTAAATGTAAAGTATGGGCAGTTAATGTTGGTGTGGCAGTTGCTGGAAAAGAGGAAGTCACGTTAATCAGCTGCTTGTCATTACTACCTGATGTGTCAGTGTTAAGATCCTCTGTTAGTAATTACAGCACAGCAAAGGGTGCTCCACAAGCTACTTGACTTGGCAGCAATGATATTACTACCTTACTTACTTGTCTAGTGAGTGAACGTCAGGTACAAGCTTAGACTAAACTCAGATTTGTCCTGTACACATACATCTTGATAGTTCAATTATATTTAAATTTTCAGATGAGTCTATTAAACTGGTTGGTTAGGAAGAGAGAGGAGGATGGTGACCTCAGAGAAGCTGAGGTTAGTAAAGCTAAATAGGGATGCTAACTAGTCACCTTTTGAGATAATGAGAATTTTCTATTGGATTTTAATATACATATGCCTATACAGAATGGAATGAATAAAAATGCTGGTTACGTGTTGTGTTATAGATAAAAAAGACCAGTAGTGCAGGTGGTAAATGGGCATTTCATTTCATTTTTTGACATTATTTTCTACAGATAAATGACAAAAGCTGTAAATTAAGACACTACAGACAAACATGAATAATCCTATCTATAATTTGATTTGAAGCTATTCTGACCTGAGTTTAGTTAACGCTACGACCATACTAATCCAGCTACATGTAAAAAGACTGTCCACACAATAATGTTTTCGTTCAGATCTCTGTCCACAATGAAACAGCAATAACAACACTGTGCATTCCAACATCTATGAACATGTTAGGTGTTCTCATCTGTCCACCAACTGAAGTCTCCACAAAGACCATACAGTTGAACCAACACCTCTTTTAAAACTGTTTCAACAAAAACTGAACATTAAAAAAACTTCATGAAGGTAGAATTTATCACAGGATTCAATAATATCTGTTATTATTCATTTTGTTTGTATAATGTCAAAAGACAGTGAAAAATATCTATTGTGATTCACAACAACCAAAGGAGACATCTTCAGACATTGTCTTCTGTGTGACCAACAATCCAAACCCCAAACATATGAAGTTTACTGTGATGTCATCAGTACTTCTTTGGAATTTTGGCTTAAAAAAAATAACTAATCAATTTATCGACTAATCACTGCAGCTTTAGTGGACACCGTCAGGCTGCTTTACACCATTCTTACACAATACCCCATGTGATGATCCTTCATCAAGACACAAAGGGCTCTATCTGTGTCTGTTTCTACGTTACTACACTGTCTGTCAAACAGCATAGGGTAGTTAGAAGATGTAGTGAGACTATTTTATTTTTGGAGTTAAATTTAATCTCATAGTCTAAATGCAGTTTCAACTTTTCAGTCCTGATGTGCTGAACAAACAACAAATACTTTTCTTACAAAGAGAAAACCATTTAAATGTCAATATATGAAATGTGTGCATCACAAATGTGCTGAATGGTAAACAGACTGCACTGACACAGCCCTTTTCTTGTGTTATCCACCACTCAGAGTGCTTCACACTACAAGCTACAGTACTCATTCACACACACATCCAAACTGTGTTTTTATGCCTCCACGCGGGTGACAGTCAGAGCCGAAGACATATTGTTTTTAGGTTTTCTATCCATCCCATTCTCATGAACTCGATATCTCAGGAACGCGGTGTGGGTTTTTCTTCAAATTTGGCACAAACATTCACTTGGACTCAAGGATGAACTGATTAGATTCTGGTGGTCAAATGTTAAGAAAACACTTTTTTTAGCCATTATTCAAGTCTTCAAAGCAATTATGACAAAATTTCACACAAATGTTTAGGGTTAGGATTAGTTTTAGTCCTTAGTTCTATATGACTTTGAATAAACAGGGATGTAACCACCAACAAAACCTCGGTCTAGTTAAGCACAGCCTGCTGATGTTGCCAGTCCATGTTCCAGCTCTGTGAACTCTGCTTCACCCCTGCACACAAGCTCTGTTCCTGTCCTCAACACACAGGTTAATCCAGCTGTCTGCAGGGTGTGTGTGTGTGTGTGTGTGTGTGTGTGTGTGTGTGTGTGTGTGTGTGTGTGTGTGTGTGTGCAGTGTGTGTGCGTGTGTGCTGACAGCACAAGGATGAGTGTGTTGATTCTGTCTACATATCTTCCTGTGCTGAGATGCAGCTTTCATGCACTATCCTGTCTCTGCTCTGGACTGGAAACAACACAAACACAGTCAAACTCTTTTGTCTTTCATGGTTTGGACAGATAACAGGACGCCAATGCAAACCAATAGTCTAACACTGATATGCAGCAATTTTAAGACACACTCTTGAACGCAGGGCTCCACGCTTACATTTTTTTTTTAGGGTCATTGGTGCCTTTAAATGAAAAAACAAAAAAGATGAAAATTTAAGGACAAAGAGAAATAACATTAATGCATCTTCTTTTTTAAAGAGCACATATTTAACATACGGTGTGTATAAGATACACAGGAACTGGAAGAATTTTGAAACATTAGATGCCCTGTGGCCCTGATAGAGGATAGGAATATATTGATTTATGCAACCCTGAAACAGTCTAATAATTATCTATGGGCTTTTGAAATAAGGGTTTTTCAATCTCAATGTAGTATTTAATTTGTTTATTTCAGTGAACCCTTTAATGGTTGCTGTTCATCAGTTTTGAGTAGCAGCACAGAACATGTAGCTACGACAATGAGAAAAGATAAAACTGAATTCATCCTGAAGGAAATGATTGTGCCAAAGATGCTCAGTACACACAGTAAAATAAATATAGACATAGCAGCACAAATACTGACTTCGGCTCACCTGATTTCCAACACTATAGCTCCTGATTCAGATCTGAGACTGGATCTGCCTGATTTACTGATATGATATGAATAACATTTCAACTGTAAAGATTCTTACTGCTGACTGATGTGATGAATTTTGGCTGAATACAGTACTGAGCAAACTCTGAACACGACCACATCAGGACAACCTGTTACCAAAATATAGTACCTGGAAGCATGATTGAAAAATGATAGTGTGCAGATGTGAAAAATTTGTAATGCTAGTCATTTTTCCCCTTTTTTTCCTGGGGGGGCTGAGCTCCTCCAAGCACACAGAGATGCCATGGAGGAGAATACAACACTGCTCCAGTTGAAAGCAACTATGCTCATTACTATAATTAAACCTCTGTGAGTAAAATGCAAAATAATCTAATTTATCAAAAAAAAACCAAGGCTGCACAATTATAACTGAATAATTAAAATATATCGAGAGGAGAGACGCCCCATCATCATATTCTCCAGACGTAAAGGAAACATGTTTGTTTGGTACAAGACTCAACAAAAATTATATCATCATCATTTTTAGAGTTTTTTTCAGTGAAAATTAAATGTAAAAATGATCATTTCAACTGAAATGGCAATATCTTCCAAATTAGTTGCAATATGTTTTTGTTTTTTGTTCATATCGTGCAGCCCTGCAAAACACCATTAAACAAGCATGAACTTGCAGTAATGTGATATTTTCTGCAGCTGACTATCCACTGATGGTATGTGTTCATCTTAGCAAGGCTGTTAAGTTATTAGCCAACTTCTATAAACAAGCTACTATGATAGTTGACTGACTTTGGCCTAACTTGCCAAATATCTTAAATTCAAGCAAGTTCTTGTAGACCCCCTCCCACACTGGCCCCTCCTCCCTCAATACTATACGATCAAACAGATTGCCAAATGAC